GCTTATAAATTAGCTGAATTAAGCTTAATAATATAAAGTACTGTAGCTTTATATTATGAAGTATAAAGTAGCTAACTTCACATTGACAAGGCAGAGCATTACCTTTATCTGACTTGCAACATTAACAATTGAAGGGGAAAACAAGGGACTTACGAGTTCGTTCGTTGAGGTCTAAAGTGTCGTTATTTGCACAGGCAAGATCTCGAATAACCTGGCCATCATCCTCATCCTTTGCCAGCCAGCGATCACAGGGGAAGCGGAATGTTTTATTCATGACTTCATCTTGTACATCTATGAACTCCAAATGCCAGCCTGCACCAGCACCTGATTGTGATACACAATTTGAAAGAATGTTGTGAAAGCCACTTTTATGTTCTTGAAATACATTTTCTTGGTAATAACATTAGTTTTTATACATCTTGAAATGTATATATAACATACAAATTAAACATACAAATTGAAAAAAAAATGTGTCTACTACTTACTTTTTTACTTTTTTAAGGCACAGTGTATAATGTCTTTTGTGTAATTGATTTGTGTCCTAACTGATTTATACATAAGAGGGGACTCTCTTCAATCAGTGCTGAAGTGTAACACCCGGGAACCGAGTTAGCCCAGATTGTGCAAGATCAGAGTGGAATTGTACTTAGGAGAGATAATGTTACCACACAATTTTAACTAATCAAAAACATTTGCATTCACTTAAACAGCATATGATTGATAGCTCACTCAATCACGTGTCGAAAAAGGACGCTCAGTTGACAGACACATTTTTTTTCAAAAAATAAGTTTAAACATTTGGTATGGTTTTTTTTTGTCTCAATAGAAAAAAAATAAGAAGTTTGATTGAAAACAAAACATTGTATAAAAAATAGAAGTGTGAGTTTAGGTTTCATTTTAAGTCTACACTAGCTATTGTTCTTAGCAAGGGGCTGTACTGACTTAGTTTTACCTTTATTATCATGCCATACTCTGATTTTGGATAACTCTCCCAGACTCAGCATGTCAGGAAACTTGAACACGTCCGTTTGCTTGCGCTCAAACTTGTTGCGCTTATTGCTCTCTTTCAGAGCGATGGTTCCTGTGTCCCCATTCTCTCCAAATATGATGAGGAAGACATTAGCGTCAGTACCAGCCCCTACAAGCCAAATTGGAAACATTAAACAAATACATTCAAACATGAAGGTACATTAAACAAATACATTCAAACATTCCCACAAATATTTTTTTTTATTTTATTGCAGAGGTCCATCTTGTTACCTTTCCAGGCTCATACTGTCTGCATTAAGAGAGTTCTGAAATTGGTAACAACAAATTCCATTTAATGTTGAAAGAACTGAAAAACAAATGTAAATACATGTAGCAATCAAAAAACTGAAATGAATGAGCCTGTGATTAACAACATTAGCAACTGGAGAAAAAACTCAGAGAGATCCCCCAGGGACTGGGCTGAGAACCAGTGGTCTAAACATGCCCAGTCCTGGATCTGGATGGGCCTCTTGTGGAAAACCTGTCACAGTTATCTTAGGACACAGCTCGGGTTCAAAACAGGTTGCAAAATAGGGCTCAATGTTCATTCAGAATCTTCAAAAAACCTTATAGTGTTTGTGGGGTGCTTTTGATCTGATTCCTAAACAGTGTTCTCTAGCATGAAGAATGACCAAAATTATCTGTTTCATCTCTACAAAGCTTTCCTCTCTGCTTCACTGATTAGGTAGCTCCATAGTGACCTGAAATGCACAGTACTGTGAGTCTGATTGATGCTAAATAATGAAAATGTTTACTGTGAGTGACAGGCCACAGTGGAGTAATTACCAGAGATGGTGCTTGTACTGTACGTTTCCCTTTACTAAATGACCTGTTCATAGGAGTGCACATGGTACCTTCCTCTGTTGTGTTGTAGTCAGAGAGAAATGATTTGTAAACTAATTTTTCAGTGCTCTAAACTTAGCTCAAAATTAAGAACTATAATGTTGACGCATGGATGGAATCCAATTACTTTTTAAAAACAATATAGCTGTTCATAATTTTAGAAGAGCCTTTGCTGAAAAGTGTCATTATTACCATTTCTCTCTGATAGATAGCTCACACACCAATACATGTCTCTCTATTCAAAAATGTGTAATTGGTAGTTTTCCCACTCTAAAACACATACTTTTTAAAGTGCTACTTACATGCAATATTAAAATGCTTTTTCAATTCCCCCTGTGTGATTTTAAGTGCTCCCTATGGACTGCAATAAGGATACACCACTCTGTCAGCTGACACCCCCACACATCTACCATTATGGACACTTTGTACCTCCTACACAGAGACAGTCTGAAAAGTGTTTGACAGCTCACATATACATGAACAGATGCAGTGTCTAACAAGGAGATATTTCTCATGAAATTAGCCTTTTATTTCTGCAAGGTCAAAGATTACAAGGATGAAAACTACTGTATGTTTCAGTTTCCTACACTGACTACACCATTACTAATGCTATACTTGTTTGTTGATGATTTACCTTTCTTCCTTTCTCTCAGAAAGGCTTCTTAGGTCCATCTGGCTTAAATTAAAACTATGATTGATTCCACATTATAGAGTAATAGATAGCAATGATGGCTGCCTATGTTAGTAAGGGATGGGCATTGTCTGTCTATGGCATGGAGCAATGAATGAAAATGTAAATTTGCTTGACTGCGTCCTGTATAACCTCTTTACAAATCTGTGCACTCCATACTACATTAATTAATAAAAGGAGGAATCAATAGCCAGTCCTATAAACCCTTGGAATCTATATAGAAACAAAATGTAAGATGGATTTTATCACTGTCATCATAAGCATGCTTTGTGCATGGATGAGTAATATTATTGCAATAATTTTATATGATGCTGATCCTACTGACTTTTTTCTTGCTTTGGAAATGAACAGCCATACAGTATCTGCCACTTCAGGCACAGACACTGCTTTTCCTCTGTGGTGCTTGATATAACTGTTCATTTAACACCTGCTCACACACTGAGGATCTGTTTATGCAAATCTGCTTTGGAGGTGCTTTACAAATTGGTCTCTACCTTTAAGTTCATAGTTTCTTCCAGAAGGAAAAATACAATATATTGGGTAACAGTTAAGTTAAAACAAATCGCAAGATATTGTGTATGATTATTATTCACTATTGGAAAACAGTGAGAAATTTGCACATAATGCAATAAGAACAAAATCCAAAGGTTTTCAACACACCAACAGAAAAAAATATGCTTCATCTTGTCACAAAATGTTCTGGAAAAATTTAGCGAAAGCATTAGGCTAAATAATGTACTTGATGTAGTTTTCGTAGCATTGATTAATTTCAAATGGAACACTGAAATGCTTTGTTTGATTTTATTTGCATGAGATCAGATACTTAAAAATGGTGAAAGAAAATCTCGACAGACAGAGGCAAAGAAATTGCTTGAGCTAACAGCTTCTACTCTTAAAATTCATATTAAGCAAATACTTTATGAGGTCTGAGTCATTGAAATTTCAGTTTCATAGAAACACATTAGACCTATTCTTACCTTGAGGCTAATTAATTCAATTATAGTGTTCACACCATATTTTTTCAGTTTAACTTCCTGGATTGGGATTTCTTCCTATATTATACCTACCTTTTCTATTTTTTAGCTTGTTATTAAATCCATTAACAAAAACACTTCAACCAGCACTTAAATTATAGCACTTAATTAATGCCAGTGATGAGAGCATGATTACATAATTGTTGTTTTAGCCGGTGTCTATATTTGTATGTATTCATGTACTTTTTTTTTCTGTCTACAGTAAATTAAATTCAAACCCATGTACATGTTGCAATAAATTAATGATTTATTCATGTTTTAAGGCTTTAATTTGATACATCCATGATAGGAATAGCATGATGGAACAGAAAAATGCAATGAGTTAGTGAGCAAAGAAACATAAAAATTAGCATAGGTTGCTACACTTGTGAAATGAGTGCCAGCACTGAAAGTATAATGGAAGAGACATGGATTCAAAGAGCCTAAGACAAGGATCCACAGAGGGACCTTAGAGAGGTCTTTCTGCAACAGCTGGGTAACAAGAGCTGATGACAATGATGAGGACGGCTTAAACAGGTATGGAACGCTCCAATCCTGTTGAGGCCAATCTTCATGAATTTGATATTGGAAACTGGACTTTATTCTTTTCTCATTACTGGTTATTGCTAACATGTATGAATAAAGAACCACTAACCATATTTCTTGGTTACTATGTGCGGGTTCTGCAATGGCGTCAAATTTCAACCATGCCTTACTGTAAACACAATCCATCTACTTGCTTTTAAAGAAACAACATTGCACGTGTAATGTTGTTGCTCTTGCAGTTAAGAACCAGACCCCTGCCATGGTGTGGCCAGTCGCTGGATAGAAACCATATTTGAGACATATGGACATTTTTGATTAAAGCCTGCTAAAATGGACCCCAGTATAATGCCATTCATGTTTTCACAGATTTAATAGCAGTAATTTTTACATGCTAATTTATTTGAATTCTGTCAAAGCTCAATTGTTTACATGAAGCTGTCATTTTTTTCAATCAAATCTCACTAAACTTACTGCTTTTGTGACTGAAAACTGTCAAAGGGATATTTTCAAGGTTTCACTGTCACATTAGAACTTAAAACTAAATTAATCAAGAAGCTCCAGATCCTTTGCTTACAGAGCAATTCACAAACCTCACTGATTTGCTTTAAGGCTGCAAACAACCAGCCGCTTTCCCCACTTATTTTTTCCAGAGAATAATTATCACTTTCTGAACATAACAGACTACAAATAACATGAAAAACATGGTGCTCCTAACTTGGAAAGCTGTAGTAATTAATCAGACTCCCTAATCTAAACTGCAGTGTCACAGGGTGTTGGCATTCATACATATATACAGTAAATGTTGCCATTCATTGAATATTAATATGTATTCTACATCTGATTTTGTGGTGCAATTTTCATTGTTACAATAACTTTTAGTTTTGATTAAAATGTATCTGCAAGTAAATGCAAAAGCTATTCAGTTGCTTTTTTGTTTTTTATTTGATTGCTAATTCTGCTGCTTTTGTATCTTTTTTCTTGAATTTCCTGAATAATGTAGAATAATGATCACAACTTTATGGTATTTTGATCAGTCAAATATTTAATTACATCACATATATGATGACATCTTGCCCATCTGTTGCTAGGGTTTATAAACACTTTCTTTGTTCTTCTCTAGTGACCAACATTTGAAAAAGAAAGTGCTTTTGTTATTTTGTTTGTATCATACCACACGCTGATCCATTGAAATCCTGCAGACAAGCCAGGAGAAGAAATTCCTCATACTGAACAGGCAGATATTTCCCTGTCTGCAACATTTTGGTGGTGAAACCCTGACAATAAGTCCTTGTTTTTTATTATCTCCAATGAAACTAAATGGATGAGTCCCAACTTGCACATCTCCTGGCTCAACTAAGGGAACATATCAGGCTACCCTGGGGGAAGATAGCCTGATGTGCTTGGTCAAAAAAGTGGTTCACTCCCAGGTTGTTGTCAGGAAGGTGCAACTCCATCATCTTTGACAATATCCATGGTGTTACTAATATTTTTGATGCACAAACAGCAGTTATTAAATATGGTGATATTGACTCTAGACGTTAATAGAGCCAGTGTGAAATGCCAGTAACTGCAAGATATATGCTGACTGCTTGCAGGACCATGCGTCTTCCATCCCACCCAATTTTCTTCCAAACCTGACTGTCCTGAGACTGAGTTGACTTGGTTTGAGTCAATCACAGAACAAGAGCTATGGATGCAAGGACAAGATGCTTTTGCCACTAACATACTCGGTGCATGTACTGTAGCTTCTGTCTCTCACAAGTCAATGACATAATTGTAGTGATAACAATGGTGAAGATTTCAGCCTCACAATGCCACATTTTGCTGGCACTCATTTCTTGCTCAGTAACTGCCTAAACAGACAGGAGTTCTAACATTTAATACAATCTCTCTCATATAATGTTCATAACAGGTTAATGTTACATCATTAACAATGGGGAGTGTAAATGTGCTGTTTTCAAAAGTGCTGCAGATTTGACTAATTACTAAACTAAAAGTGCCTTAAGTGTAACAGACAATTCTGTGAGATAAAGGCTGTTTTCTACAGATTACTAAATTCCCCAAACCTCGGTGAAAATTCAAAGCCTTATCCCTCTCCCAGCAGTCTGGATGAAAGTAAAGCCTATCTCATACCCAGTAGCTCCTTAGAGGAGGGGCTCCAAGTTTTGTACTGTATTCACCTCCCCAGAACCCACAATATAAACATATTCAGTAAAGACGGCTGCAGTCAAGAAGTACCAGAAACGTTTTCAGCTACACATAGGAAATCAACAGAGTATCCAGCCAAACTGGTTCAATGAAAAGCTCTTATAATTAAAATGTAAAGTTTTTTAGTCATTATTTTATTTATATTTTTTGATTGTATTTTTTGTGGTTTTTGACTCCTATTGACCCTTATTTTCTGTGAGGCCATCCATTGTGCTAGTACTGACAAACGGAGAGACTCGGATGTTTGATGCACTGTTAAATTGAAATGGAATTATATGTATTCCAGCTGGGGAGGAGATAAGACGAATAAGGATATCATCTATCCAGAAGGAATGAATGGGCTATTCTGGAATAACCTAATATTTACAGTTATAGCTTCTATTTTCTATTCTTATTAATAATAGAATACTGTATATTGTAATATTTTATTCTATATTGCAAAGAAGTTTCAATGTGAAAAACCAAAGCTCCTCTAGATCAAATATTCTCTTTGTATTCCTCCTTTCTAGCCTTTACCTAACTTACAAAATTAATTCTGATCTACAGAACACTGCAAGGCAACACTAGATGAGGAATGTTATACCACTGCAAAGACATTAAAATGAATACATGAATCACTTACTAACCAAAATGCAATTTTGCTGACGATTACGAAACACCCAAACATTTTCCAGCCTGATATAATTATTATCAAATCATTGGTAAAACCCTATAATTGTAATAAAAGTATCTTTATTCAGTACTTTTAATTATTTTTAATCTCTGCCATATCAAAAGAGAAATAAATTAACTTTGATCTCCTGTTTCTTATAGTTGATATTAGAACACTGTTCAAGATGGGGTGTTAAATCCCTGTTAACACCCCAGGGGTCCTGTTAAATGGGGTGAGGGAGACACTTCACTGTATGCTGCATTTTAAGATTCTGTACATTCCCTGAGCTACCAATTAGCCACAAAACAAGTAAACTGACAGTTACCTAGTTACTGATCATTTTTACTCATTCACTCTTTGACTGCCATGTATTATGCTCTTGGTGTTTTAGAAAACTATACTGGGTTTTTAGCATGGCTCTCGGCACAAGGAGAAAATGTTTTTTTGGGGGATTTTCTAATTACACGTCTGCATTGCAGGATGTACCTGCAAAGCATTTTTAATGCTTCAGATGACAACTGATTAGCATCTCTACCGACTGATGAGAAATTGCAGAAGGCAACTTCTTTAATTATATAATCAGGGGCGGCTCGTGGGTATATAAATTGGTGGAACACAAATGTGGATGAGAGGATTGATGTATATTTTCTTTTTTTCTTGGTGATGAATAATTTGTCATAGAAGAATAAAGGTGCAAGCTTTTTTTAGTATTCACCTTTGACAAACTCAGGTATAACAATAGAATCATGTGAAAACAAGCTATATTCCCATAGGAATGCTTAAATGTGTATTGCATTATTATTTGTCAACATGGATAACTTACAGCAACATCACATGTCACTGCTTCTTCATGTAAGAAAGGCATTTTTGGAAGACATCCATGGCAACTACAAAAAGTACTAAACTAATTAACAAGTGGAATAATTTATTCAGGAACCATGCATAAAGGCAAAAGCCAGTGTGTTTAAAGTACAATTGGGGATGTGGAGCTTTTGTACTCTGGAGAATTTCTTACTCTTCGGAGAATGAATTACTAGCAGTTAGATGTTGTCTTTTAAAAATGAATTAAAAGACACAGCAGAAAATTTCAAATTAAGAAATCTTATCTAAGATGGCAAAAAAAAATCCAAGCCCTTAAAATGGATACATGAGAATAAGTAAAACTGCAATAAGATGGTTAGGCTTATCCTTTTTCTTAAGAATGGTCAATTACTTTTCATGATACAACTATCCTGGTATTGTATAAGCCTGTAGAGTCATGACTTTAGGTAATGGCTTCATGTCCTCACTGAAGACATGTCACGATTATAGTCCCCCCTCCTTAAGGGTGCTCCAGCCCTTTCACTTGAGACTTTATTCTGTGCACCTGTTTCCTATTCCCAGCCCACCTTAAAAGCCAGGCGCTGACGCTCATCCGGGCTCTGCATCTGGTTTCCGTACCGTGCGAGTCTGGGACCTGGAAGCGCCCGGTCCCATTAAGGTTTTAATCTCGGTTCCCATTCCTGTTCCCTGTCTGCCGGTTCCGACCCGGCCTTCGTGTTTTAATTCCATGTTCTGATGGATCTCCTGGTTTTAGACTTACCCATTTGTTTGGATTCTCTCTAAGGATTACTCTTTTGGATTGTTCGCCTCGGCCACACCTCCCCCCGTGCACCAGCGCACCTTGGACACGCCCACCTGTCTTCAGCCCCGTATTCCTGCGTTTCCCTAGTGTTTCCCAACTTCTTCGGATTGTGTTGTCCGCATAGGGTCCGGAAAGAACTGTTCATTACAAGACACTGCAGTTGGTACCCCTATTTACCCAGATTGCTCAAGTCCACCCTTCTTTATGAATAGCAAAGCACATTAAAGGGGTTGTGCTCTTTAGGTAGTTTAATGGTACCGAAATCAGGATGAGCTCTGGTATGGTTTTTCCTTTTGAAGAACTGTATACACCCAGCAAATGAGGAAGTGCAGACTGGCTCTTTGTCCCACATACCCACTGAGCTGGTCATCTTTTAACATCCTATAAGCTAAGTGCTAACATATTGTATAAGATGCCAGAGCTGTAGTCACCTGGTATTTCCTAGGACTCAAGAGAGCCCTAACTGACAAATCCCAACCCTACCGCCAGCGCTGAACCAATTGTGAGTCACTTCTAGGAGAATTCCAGTCATGTAGTGACTAGAGCCAGACTTCATCCTGCACCAATGTCACAAACCAGGTTTTGAACAACAGCTATCCGGGGCTTTACTGTTCACACTGGAAAAGCAGGTTGAGAAACTAAAAAAAAATGTTTCCTTGAATCGATATCAAAGAAAAAGGAATATGAGCATCCTCACTCCCCTGGAAACCAACCTGCTAGCACATATGATGTCTCTGTAATGTGCAGTAACACATTAGACAAAGACCCTAGTGCAAGGGGCTGCTTTAATCCCAAGCTGAAGAAATAAGGCACATGAATGAGTGTTAATAACTGCTGTGCTAATGCCATTACTTCAATGCAGTGTTTAGGAGACAGACCCTGTCACCCAGTGGTGTGCAAGTAGAGGAGTGCATGGTTGTGTGTCTGATTGTGTACTCATAGCTAATTTTCCTATGAAACTGTCTGAAATACAATTTGAAAATGATGTTTAGCATCTTTAAAAGGGGCAAGATCTTTGTTGTTGTCTTTTGCGATTTCATTCTACATTTTCTTCCACTTTTGTCTGTGGTGGGGCAATGAGCTGCCCCTCCATACGATCATGTACAGTAAGGGCCGAGAGGACAGTTTGGATGTAGTGCAAGAAGAATAAAAAAAACTCCTGAAATTGTAAGGAACACCTGGATCTCATTAAATACATAGAAAAAAAAGCTTTTACCAATGCTAGGAAAACATTTTCAGGCTTAATTGTATTGCATGTGGAGGAACACAGATGATAGTTGACAGGTATTTTTTCTTTGCAGGGAAAACAAAGTGGTGCAACAAATCTGTGTGATAAGAAAGGCAGCAAGGAAAACTTACCATTTACTTAACATTTAACATTTAACAAACTTAACATTTTTATCCCTGATAAGTTTAATTCTTAACTGCCTCAACTTTAGCACTACCTTCTAAATATCTTCCTGAAAATCAGGTCAGTACATACAATTTGCATTTAAAACCCCTAAAAACAGAAGGAAATGGATATGTACTCGCGCTCTTCAGACGAAATTGAAAGGAGGACACCATCAAAAATAATCTGTGACCCACTGTTATCTCTTCCTCGTTTTTAAATCTTTCTCTAAACCTGTAAATTTATTGCATTTCATCACAGATGCTTCCGAGATAAATCTGCAGGAGTCTGTTACTGCAAATTAATTATCTTTTTTATCACAGAATACAGCGCAGTTTAATTATTTGCAGCAAGGGATACTTGTCAGGAGATTGAAAGTCCTACCTGATACATCACTGGTTTTCACTTGTATGGTGTAGGTTGTTTTCTCCACTAATTGCTCTTCATCCACCACAGCTGCTAGCTCACATACAGTCGTCCTCTTAGGTCCCTTTGTCTTGGAGAGCCACTCATTGTAGGTGAAAACTGACACTTCTTCTGTGCTCATATTCCGTAAAATGATCTGCAGAACAGCCAGAATTAAGTCAAACTTACTGTGAACCCCACCCTTGATATCCATTTAGTCTCAGCAGCCTAAAGTTTGCCTGTGAAGAGAGGTGTGCCACATTATTTATAATGAGCTGATCTAAAAAGTTTAAACATTCCACAATCATTTTCTTTTTAAAAACATTTCTTATTGGACCAGAAAGTAAAGTGAACTGTTGTAAACTGCACACCACAAAACAAGGTACATATAAGCAGCAAAAAACAAGCTCTGTAATATAAAATACATTTTTTGTTGTTGATTTTTTAATGTGTAAATATGTATTATAATATTTTCTCAGTCTGTGTTATACAAATGATTTTCTCCCCTATATGCCATTAAAATCACAGCCTTTTGGTAAGCCTTTTTAAAAAAGGAAAGGATTTGAAAAAAACATATTAGAATGGTAAGGACATACAGTAGGGGTGTAAGATGTTCTGGAACCCACTGGTTAGGCCGTGTGCTTTTTATGCCACAACAATCAGATGCTTTCCTATTTACATTACCCATTACTGGTATTCACACACATTTCAAATAATCTGTTTAAAAAATAAATTACTTAATGTATTTTCATGCCATGAAGAGGTTAGTACTTTAAATCTTTATCTACATACAAGATTCTGCTGCTACTGCTAAGAGAAGTTAAGCAAATAGATCTGAAAAAAACAACAACACTGTTGTGCCAACATGATTGGAATCTTAATGATCACAGAAGCTTCAGTTTGAGATCTCCATGTGTATTACAAGGGCTGAAAAGAAATGAATGACCACCCTGAGCACCCTGTTGTACTGTGATGATAAACGTCTGACTTTCAGTCTCATGTTAACTGTCAAATGACAGTTTTTATGTTTCAATAAAAGTCTTGTGGTCTAGATGATTAAAAGATCAATTGTTGCAGGTTGTATGTGTGCTTCCATTTCTCTCTCCACAAAGAGTCTTTGTCTGAAATGTCCTGCAACATATTTCAATCATTTAAACTTTGTGTACAAAACATTTTCGGTCTTTTATTTTGTATACAACAGCTCAGCCTTCTCTTAATCCAAGAGACTGTGATATAAAAAAATGGTTCAGAAAGGATTTGATGGAAAATCTGGAACAAATGGTTAATTAGAGGGCTGATGGCTTAATCCAGTCTCCGGTCTAATCCTCTGTGTTTACTTAGGACCATCTGTTCAGATATCCTATATTGTAATTGTTGATGAAAATATGCAGTATCTAAATTAAAATGGAAATAATTTTGTGTTGTGGAAGTAATTCTGTACAAACGTTTAGACTGCAAAAGCTGAACACAGTGTTTAAAGCATAGTATTATGTTTAGCATATAGTATGTGTTGATACTGGAAACTTTACAAACCACATGAAATAATCCATGAAAAACCTAAACTAGTAAATCCACTGCCAGCTGAAGGTGTCTTCTTTATCCCCTTTAACAGTCTACCTTTGTAAATAAGCTATAAGAGTATCTATAGCACATCTTGCCTCTAGAGCCACAGACTATACCACTATAGACCACTATACATTAGGTTCATTCATTCATCCCTGTCTTGCCCCTCCTAGACAATCTGTCACCGTCTGCTGAGAACAATGGATTAATTCCAATTAGTGGTTTGAAATACACAAAAAAAATAGTTGTCCAGATGCATTGATCACACTGTTAGACTATGAGATGGTTCACTTCACAGAACATGAATGTCTTTTTAGAGTTGTGCAATAATAAACACAGCCAAGATGGACCCCAACAACATTTTAGGTGTTTCTGTCTTTTATTTTCTTTAAAATTCTACTTGTTTTTTTGCGATGAATAATGAACATAAGGTTTAAGAAATCAACCCGGCGTAAACACATCAAACCATAAGCACACACAAATGCTGGGGAGCTGAGTCTCTTGAGCTCCATTAAGTCAGATCAATAGTCTGGTTTAAAGGAAAATGAATTACCAGCTTAGACCTGGAAAACTAGAACTTGTACAGTATGTAACTAATATTATTAATGATTTTTCAATAGCATTGATAATTACATTTATTCTGCTACATAATCCTTTCCACTGAGTAGTTTAATAAATATTGTAAACCTTAAGTCATTAGACATTAGGGGGTAGGTTAATTGCTAAATGTGACTTTAGAGAGCAATTTTATTACCAAATTAAGATTATAATTTTCACTAAAGAAGTATGACCTCTTAGATCTTCTTTATTTCACAATGACAAAATCAATTTGTAATGACTACCTAATGTAAAGAAAACCAGAAAATCTTTCCCTAAGGACTCTTAAAGGAAGGTCCTTTTTATTGTGCATCTTGAGCTGACAAAATATCTGTGCTTTGGATAAACTGAATTTATATCAATAACTGGACTTACGACTGTACCAGAAAGAAAAGCAAAAAAAAAAGTCCTGGAATACTATAAAATGATTTTTTTAACAGGAGGTGCTTTTCCACAGTGTCAGTTTCAAATGGGTCAGATTTGGTTGGTTCTATTTGAAATGAGGTGAAATGAGGAATCTGGATCACATACACTAGATACAACTCCAAAATTAATTTCTTTGGTTTTTATCCTCCTGTCTAGACTCTAGTTATTCATAACACATTACTCTCTAGACCTAGGTTATTCATAAAAAAATTTCAGATGAGGTTAGATAGATCTAGAAAATTAAACATGTACTCAAACAATTAGCTGCATAATGTGTAGGTAATTTGGCAAACATAAATATTAAGCTTTTATATTTAGCCTTTTAAAAATATTGCTATTTACTGACCACTGCTTCGCTCAAATCAATCTGGAACAGTTTAGGAGAGTAGGGCTTAAGAGAGATAAAGATTGTGGGAGAGTATTTTTGCTGTAATCTAGTGATGCACGGGCACTAAGGGATTTGCAATTTGAATATTACTAAACCACAGACACTTCATTTTTCTGGGCTTTGCTTTCTGTGATCTTCATCTTCTATTATGTGATGCAGTGAACAGTTCAGTCCACATGTTTGAGTGGCAGCTTTTGAGCACATGTTGTTAACAAAGCGATGAATGCAATCTTCCCAACAGACTTTGTTATACAATTTGGCACCCCAAATATATAAAAATATGTTGAACACAGCAATGATTGTTTTACTTTTTCTCAAAGTCTGATTTGACCTATCTGACTTGTACATTTTTTAATTTACTGTATCATGTATATTTTGATTTTGTTTTAAATAAAAGTAAACGTGTTGTTGCAGATAATAATATTAAGTAAGGGAACAAGTAATACTGTAGGTTTATTTCACGCTGAAAAGAGAAGAGAGAAAACACAACGTTTCGGCTGTGAAGCCTTCTTCAGGTGTGTCTAGTATTAAGTACTTCCATTCAGCAATAATTTTGTTGTTGCAAAGTCTTTTGGAGTATATAGAATAGCCAATAGCATGAAGCCTTCACTAGTTAATGTGACAGTGCTAAAAATGTTCATGAAAAAGATATCAGTGACAACCTTATCCAAGAACCAGTCTGGACGACTTCCACTGCCATCAGTGCGAACCCTGATTTTTTTTATGGGTGCAATGTCATCTATTTCCACATTGAAGACATCTTCTTGACCTCTCTCAAACCTAGAAAATACCAATGTGTTAACATTACTAATAAACTGTATATCATATAGCACAAAATGTAATAGAAAAACGTCTTCTATTAAAAGTATTTTGAGTATATTTCTTTGATTCATCTTTTGATATTACTTTGAGTTACTGTATATGGAATGTACTGTATAGATTTTATACATAACATAGATAATGTCCATCCATTTTCTAATTCCTTCTTCCAGTTTAGGGTTGTGGGCAGCCTATCCCAGCACACAATGGGCACAAGACAGGATACACCCTAGACAGGACAGCAGTTCATTGCAGGGCACACACAGACACAACACACACACCTACACCAGGACAAGTTTTCTCAGAAGCCAGTTAACCTACTAGAATGCCTTTGGACTGTGGGAGGAAACCCATGCGGAGAACATACAAACTCTATACAGATAGCACCCCAGGTCAGGAATTGATCCCTGGGCTTCATGTGGGATAACTACTATGCCACTGTGCTGCCCCATAGACAATATCTAGTATATATAATAAATAAACTGTTTGAAACCATGCCCATAATTTGAATTTAAAATGAATCTAAAATGTAATAGCTGATTTTCCAAAAGGAAATATTTCGTGGTGAGGATAATGATATTTGTGGCATTAACATGCAAACACTTGTTGCAATATTGAAATAAAAAGGAGGCACCTGTCTTCATTCTTCTGTAAGAGCATCTCTTCTGTGCTTCCACTGGCCCCAAAAACTGCCATAAAAATGTTGGCATCAGTCCCTGCATTCTGAGTGTCTCCAGTGACAACTGTTACTTCATATAAAACCTGGAAAACAGAAAGAATTATAAACCATGTCTCACTCATAATGATTTAATTCGTTTAATACAATGTTCCTCAGCGAACATCCTGAGGCTGACCCAAGAAAGAAACTGTGCGTAGAGTATTAGAACATAAGAATGTTTTTAGGAGTTAATTATTTCGTACAAGTAGTAATAGTATTGTCTTTGACAACATACCGTAGTTGTGTATCTTGTTACAGCTAAAACGTACTTCTTGTTTTGAGTTTTAAATCAATTTTTTGTCTGTATGTATTGTTTTTGAAGTTATGATTCTGAAGAGGGTTGGGTTTACTTTACTGATTTTTAATGGAGAATTGTTGCATTTTAAGGCTTACATCCAAATAAATCAAATTAATGTTGGATGAAACATTCCTACACCTCTCCAAGTTTCCACATCGTGGTCCCTATAACATCACACAAGGGGTGTAAGTGCATATCAAAGTCACATGAAAATGTCAGGCTGGAATACTTTGTTTTGTCATTAAATTTGTGAAAAAATGTATGAATGCAATAGAATTTGGAAATTACAATTATTCTTACAGTTTCTTTTGAGGCAATTTAGCGTGAAAAGCAAGACCAAAAACCACACCAAAAAGAAACTAAAAAAAACAACTTGCTGTTTGTTTTTAATCTAGGTTATTTATGTAAGTGGGAATAGTAATGTCATCCATGTGATATGGAGAGCAAATATCTCCCAGTGAAAGATCTCTGTGACCACATGACCTCTTCTCTGGGACATCTTAGTGCTGTTCTTGACAACCCTTGGCTTTAAAATATTTCCCATCTGAGAGAGGGTTTTTGTACATTTGGAATTTTGAAGAGTGGCAGTGCAAAGGATGCCAGCAATTTAGTTTCATTTGAGAAGATTGTGGACAGAAACATGGCCTGAGTCATGCCTCCTGCTCTCTGATGGGTTTTTAAAATGGACTTTTGGAGAAAAGAAGGTGCTTTTCTTTCTTTCTAGGTCTTCATATGTCTGAATCTTGGAGGGATAAACCATATTTCATGCCTAAGGCTCATAGTGGGAAGACTTTGAATACATCTGTAAGCAGCTGACCTTGTGGGAAATGTTGATGCTTTCTGCGTCGAGAACGCTGAAGATGCGGGCTGTAAGACCGTCTCCTCTATCTTTCGCAAGCCAGCATTTGCACGGGAAAATGTACATGATGCCTTTTGTCGGCACAGCAATGGATAGCTCATCCACCAGCCAGCAGCTTTCTGGAGTGGCCCCGTCATGACCCAGCTGTGATCAGAAACGAGAGGAAAATTTGTGCATAAATCACATGTTGTTCTACTTCCTTATGGAAAAAGCTTAGTTGTGCAAAATACTTCTAACAAGTTGAAATACGATACTCTACTGTCTGCTCTAGAACACGTCAAGCAAGTAGAATATAATATAGAGCTATAGAACACATCAATAAAACCATTATGATTGGGTACCTATTTCTCAGAGCCCTTTAGCTTCAAATGTTTCATACATAGTCTTGTTAGAGCTAGTGTATTATACATTTTCTGTACATTGATAAAGAGATCTAAAAGTATTTTCTCTTTGAAACATCTTATAGAGCTGGAAGACATTGATGGTTTCAAAACACATTAATTTCTTGTATTTTGATAACTAGGCCTAAGTGTTGTTAAGACTGTAATGTATTTCATAATCTGAGCCCCTCTTCAATAGTTAAATGTGTGTAGATTCATACAAAGCAGAAACAAAAATACTTTTCTTGCTCATAAATAAAAAACACCAATCAGCTTTATTCAAAGAGTTGTGAAATGCTCACAGCTGAAAGCCAGAATGTGAAAAAGAATTGGTAGTTCTAAAATAAAAAAATAAAAAATGGAAATAGAGTTTTTTATCCATGGCCATAATACAGTGGTTACTCTATACATTAAGCCATCAAATGTTTAATTTAGTATTGGTTGGTGTTGGTGCATCTGACGTAAACTGTGACTTGAGTGTGCTATCAAGCTGTCAAGCACTTTATAAACCTTCTTAACATTCTTTCAAAGCCTGACACAATTACCCTGCTATACAATAGCTCCGGTACTGGTATGCTCTTTAACTTGCCATCGACAAGAAACTGAATTGTCCTTTTGCAATAAATGCAAACATCACAACACAATTTTAAAATGGAAAGATGAGGGGACAAATAAGTAGGGCACAATCTGCCATACCCATATCTCATGATTTATTTATTTATTCCCATAACTGTCACTTTACACAGTTATTTCACATCAACGCTGTCTAATGAGACACTGATCTGTCTTCTGCATTGCTAGCAGTCAGAGAAGGCTCTATTCATTTGCTAGAGACAGAGGAAAAAAGCAAAAGAAATGCAGCCTTTCCTGTTTTTTTGCTGATCAAATCCCTGTCAACTGACAGATACTCCCCTCCCTTTAGGTCTGCATATGACGTGCAGTGGTGGCAGGAATGTGTTTCAAACTCTAGAGCTATATGGCTGCTCAGATGCAACTCAGTATAATGGAAGTAAATCACTGTGCCTCAGTCACAGCGAATTACTCCAGCTATGGAAGTTTCTTGCAGGTATATCAATTTGTCCTCTTGAGTGGATTTAGAAACTGATGACATTTCTGACCATCGAGCACCGTGTGGCAGGCTTGGGCTCCGTAATTCCTTTACTTTCAAATCATGCTAATTTCTTCATTTTGGAATTATCATTTATGAAGTAGGAAATATTATAGTCTTCTTGGTGACTATTTAGAGGTAACTGATATTAAAGCCACTGCACACTCACAAAAATATGATCTAACATGTCGCCATTACAACCTAATGTAATGTAAGTTAGATATTTTTGTGAGTGTGCAGTGGTTTTAATATCTCCCACTGACTGATTGACATGGCTGAAGATCAGTCTTTTCCTGCAGTAGCCAAATGGATCAGATTGTGGCTAAATAAAGTGTGTGAATTCAAAACCAATTTCTGAAACAAACAAAATCAGACAATAGTGTTCCTCAGGACAACATCACCGGGCACTACCCCAGCCACCAGTTGTGACCATAATGGCTGGTATGCATGAAACAGAGCTGCATGAAGCTGATCAGAATCCTCTGTCAATGACCACAGCAAAATATGTCCCATAGACCCACAATCAATCACTCAACACTTCACAGTTCTCAGAAGAGCTCAATACACATTAGAAACATACCGTGAAACTTCCATTCTTAGAGGCAATGTTAATGTCTCTCAGCACATGTAGGTAACATTCCGATCTTGTGTTTAAAAGCCCTGCCAAACTCAATTCCATACCTCAACCTTTGTGATTTCCCCCACATCAGTTCCTTGCACCTCGAATTTCTCCATGGTCCCTGCAGCGAAGCACTTTTTGCCATCAGAGAGATCGAGCCAAATGCGTGCGGTTTTAGCCTGCTGGGGGCCCATGATGATAATATAGGCCCGGCTGGTGGTGCTGGCATCCCGCTCTGTTCCAGTCGAGATGGTTATGTGGTAAGGGATAGCTGAAAAGAAGAGCACAACAGCTGGATTCTTTAGTAATGAACCACACTTTTAAAAGGGACAAGAAGCCATCTAACTACTTTCCAGACTTTTCAAACTAGAGAGGAATGTGCTATTATCTTTTATAAATTTGCCTACTAGGCAAGCTGATGTCAGGTCTAATTTTCTGACTTGAATATTTAGCCTTATTTATTTCTTTTCTTTCTGTCCATGATTTATTGCAATTGGCACTTGAACTCAACCACCCTTCATAAGAATGATGAATAAATAAAATTGTGGTGACTGATTTAGGCAATACATTGCAGAAAGCAACTTGATCTCATCTTATATCTAAACCCTGGAGCATTAAATCTGCTGCACATCACACTTTCATCATGCTTTCATCTCTTGGGCTGGAAAATGATTCCTTCCCTCCCTCCTCTTCTTCCTCATAACAATGTTTAAGAGTCTCTTAAATTAAGAGTCTCTGATGTCAGTTAAGACATGTTAATCTTATGTATAACCTTATACATGAAGAAAAAAGAAAGGGCTGACATTTTACAAATCTTTAAATTGCTAAATATCTTAAAACAGTGTACCACATGATGGAAATTCTGGTGGAGAAATGGGCCCCTCTAGTACCCCGAACATAAATATTTAGGTATGGATTAATATCTTTAGCTCTTAAGTGTTTTTAAAATATTAAATAATAAAGTAAATGATCGGTTTACAATTACTATTTATGTATACACTGCTAAACTCACCACTGTGTTTTTGCATTATGTTATAAAATAAAACAAAATATTTTTTAACAAAGTCTGCATTCTGATGTATCAATATCACAGTGTGGTGTATTTCTGTGCACCCAAAATGACGCTGTGAGCTGTGTTATAAATGCTTTGTCTAAATTAACTACTATTATTTTATTATTGCTTCTTATGTTTTCTGTACCCATATTAATATACTTGCATCATGTTGGCTAACTATACAGTATTTTAGAATGAAGAATGGAGATCCAACATTGAATTAATGCAAAATATCACTATGCATTAAAGGTTGAGACTGCTATTTGTTTCCAGCCTAAAGTGTTTCTACATGAATGCTTTAGTACATCCACAGATACATGCATCAGAAAGTATCAATACAGGTCCCTTTCTTTGAACTGGCAGAAAAAATGTATTTATGTGGCTCAGTAGAAACTACATGTATATGCTGAGAAATATTTTTAATATTGACAATGTGACTTATATTTTTATATACTTATAAAAAGCATTCTGAATTGCAGCTTGGTATAGCTTATGCTTGATTTTAGTTTTGCTCTGGATTTGCCCTTCAATTTCAGTTTCATAAACCTTTATAATCTCATTACATTCTTTATTTTGCAGGAGATAACACAAATCCCTTACTTGGCCCCTCCTCAAGGGCCTCATCTAGGGAGTTCTTCCCCTTGTTTTTCTTGTTCATGTTGCTATCCAGACTCTTCATACTGACTGAGGAACCTTTCAGACTCTTCTTTGAGCTGTGAAGACTTGTTCTTTCCCCATCATAGCCCTGCAAGTAAGCCAATATTGACTACAGTCCATTGTAAGTTAAATTTAAAAAGTACTACCATTATAATAAGACAGAAAATATCAAGCAGGAGAAACCCACTCAGGCTGACCATGACATGAATGTAACCTTGGAAATGAAGCACACAATAATCAATTTAAAGCTACATAGCAATGGGATACAAGTCACAATTTAACAACATTTTAATTTTATGCTACACAGTAGTGATTTACAGAAGTGGTCTCAGACTGCCTGTATGTGTTATGTTCAACAGGGCTCATTCGTACTGTGCCTGTTACAGGAGGTGACATCATTCCCTTGGAACACGGAAAGTGCTGAATTTTCCTATGGTGAAGACTGCACTTATTCCATACGACTTTCTAACAAGACTAGGAGACACAGAGATACTTGACAAATGTAATTTTTAGTAACTGCCTTCATTGTCTCATGTAAAATGTCCTGTTAATGTTCTGGATTCCATACTCGTGGAATAAAATGTAATTGTAATACATTAATTGAACTACAAAATCACCTTTCTCTACATAAGTGCAACATAACATACTTATTACTAATATAATAGACTTCTGTAAAATAATAATAATCCTGGAATTTTAGGAGGTCATGATTGGTAAAGGCCAATGAGAAATTTGGCCAGGACACTGGGACACTCCTACTTTTTTCCAGAAGTGCCCTAGGATTTTTAATGACCACAGTGAGTCAAGACCTCGGCTTTACGTCTCATCTGAAGGACGGCGTGTTTTTACAGTACAGTGTCCCCGTCACTACATTGAGGCATGAGGACCCACAAAGACTGCAGGGTGAGCGCCCCCCGCTGGCCCCACTAACACCTCTTCCAGTAGCAACCTTAGTTTTTCCCAGGAGGTCTCTCATCCAGGTACTGATCAGGCTCATATCTGCTTAAGTTCAGTGGGTTACAAGTTGTGAGCCGCATGGTGATATACTTTAGCTGATTAAACTACTGTATATCATAGAAAAAAATAAAAAGAATAAAAGAATATTGAAATCTCCTCAAATAAACTAAATCACTTACAAATTATGTACTTAACAGCCACTAAACTAAAATACTTATTTCTAATTACAACTCAGAGGGGGCTTATATTTTTCATTAGTTGAAATGTGTTTTATGAAGTCTAAATGACAAATTTAGCATGTAAACTCTCCATGCAATACAAAAAGAATGACTGTCATGTCCAAAACCATCTGGTACCTTCACATAGAAAGTTCTTTCTATGCGTTTGTCTTCCTTTTTCTTGGAGAGCCACCTTTCACAGAGAAATAAATATGTTTCTTCCGTGTCTACATCCACAATCTCCACCTGCTCCAGGTACCAATCAGCATTCATCATGGTGTTGTCATGGCGGATTTTTATTTTATAGACCTGGCCCAGGTCCACTGCTTCAATCGTGAACTTATCAACCTGGAAGTCAGAGTGAACCCATTATATATCAAGAAGAAGGACATCCTGCAAATTTGCAACAGAACAAGCAGAAGCCCAATCAATTTACAGAGGCGAGGCTGTAAGTCAATTTATGCTACCTAATTCATAGTTGTAAGTGATTGTGTATGATCAAAAGTGTATTTCAAAGTCTGCGTTTACATATACATAGAAAAATATACTGTCATCAGTTGTTTAACATTTTGATTCTCTTTTGATAAATAAATAATTGATTTTACTTTGTAGATTATTTATAATATAAGGCATCATTAACTTTAGTAACATAACTTAAAAAATAACAGAAGGACATTTAGTCTCTATTATGTAAATTTACTGAATTTGACAGCGGCGGGTAAAAAGGATGTCATTATTTTTATCTGTTCTGGGCCACATTATCAAGCCGTGCTCTGGAAAATTCAGATATGTGTCCCATAATTTGAAAAATGCTACAGCAGATTTTCAATATGCTGTAGGATTGCTATTGTGTTTAGAGTCAAGTCACACGTGTGCCTTAAAAGTAACCAGTTTAATATCCCCAAGGATAGGCACAGCTGTTTAACAGTTGTCTTTATTGAGTCATAAGGGAAAGACAACTGCAGACAAAATGAAATGAATCTTGTCACAGTCTTACACTAGCATGTAGTAAAATAATTAATTTGTTACAGCACCACAACACAATTTGACTGCAGTACTTGCACTACAGCACAGCTACTTTTTTAATATATTGAACTAACCAACAATGTCTTTTACTCTGGGCACAATCTGAACACTACAAATGCAACAGTTAAATGGATAAAAAGAAAAAAAAACAATTACTGCATATGTTAAGCAGTACATAACATATAGGAGAAAGAATGAAAAAAAAAGCATGGTATGATACTTGATTGGATCACACTAAGGTCTTGTTACATGGACAGTTTGATCAAAGGAACTCAGATATAAAAAGCATTATCTTCTAAATTATTTAAAATGCATTGGTGACTGGATATTTCAAGTATCTTACACAGAATGCAACCATTCAGAAAACAGAATGGTAAAATACAGCATTAATTGAATAATAGAATAAAATGATGATTTGATAAAATATTTGGAGATATATAGTTAACAGCCACTAAAATAAATCATTTTACAGCTTAAGCCATGTGTTAATCCTTTATTAGGCTGCTAATATGGTTAACAGATGATAGATAACCACTGTAGGAAGCCCAGCTAGGTAATTAAACCTTAGTGTCAGTAAGAATAAATCATGCATCCCCTACATGTTTCACTATTAAGGCGTGCACTGCACATGTATCCGTTATTTAACATTACCCAACAAGCTGTATTTCAATGCTAAAGTAGTAATAAATGTCTTACTTAATATTTAATAATACAGTGACTGCATAAAACAAATTCTAATGACATTTGTACTGTAGCATCAATTTAATTTAATTACAGGCATTAGTGATTCATGTATTCAAATGTATTTGCAATGTTAATTCTGATAATTCCAATGTATTTACGGTATAAACACTCTCATAAGACTCTGTGATAAAGTCCAATATATGCTAATCAGGGTTTACCTCGAAAGGGCAGCTCCAATATTTTAAAGGACATCTACAATTGTCTTTGGCTTCAGCTCATACTTTCTGAATTGTTTGAGTCGGAAATGTTTCACTGTGCCGGAAATGTGGGTGTACAACAGTACTCCTTCAACGTACCTGACCTCTTTCGAACTTGTTTGAGTTTGACTCAGACTTGCTGAGCTTCCGCTCTCCAGTGTCTCCCAAGTCTCCGTAGATGGTGAGGAAAACATTGGCATCTGTTCCAGCCCCATACACATCGCCCGTGATCACAGTCACCTTGTATGTGTGAGCTGAGGACCAGACATTGACATACAGTACTATCATCCAGGCGCCTGCCTTTCATTTGTAAGGTACAAGACTTTGGCAAATGTCTTGAGACTTTTGTATATGTTATTGGCATTTCTTAGAAATTTTATGTATTGCAAGACAAAAAAAAATGTCAGGTCTTCAACACATTATAGATACCCTCTATAATTATAAGAAACAGGATTAATATTCAGATCATCAATTCGGTTCATCAATCCCTTGAAAGGTCTCTTTGTTCTTCTGTCAGTCATGTATTAGCCACTGCGAAGCTCACAGACCTGAGCTCATGAGTCTACCTGAGACTCAAAGCTGAGTTTCTTATATTTTAAATATTATATTGCAGGTGCTGTTTAAGCCTCCAGTATACTCAAGAAGTGAAAGGAAAGGAATTACATTTGTTCTGATTTAGTTGTTTGTGCTGTTAGGGGACAATTCCAATTTTCAAAGATTTTATTTTTCATGTGTGAAAATGGCACATACTTTCCAGGGCGTCTTCTACCGTAGTCTCCATGGTTTTTAGCGTTCCATCCCTCTGGAGCTTCTCCTGGATGATATCCGAAGGCACCAGCTCCCGCACGGTCTCCCCGTCATCCTCGGACTTTGCCAGCCAGCGCTCACAGGGGAAGATGACTGTTTCTGAGCCCTTCCGTGGAGAAACACAACAAACAAAAGAGAGAGTTCCCCTTACTTGCAGAGGAAACATCTGTCCTGCACAAAAATCACCAAACATCCGAAGCGCCGTCAGATTTTATGCAAGATGTCTACCCGTAGACAAAAGTACCATGAAGTGGTTGTTAGTGGTGCTGTATTATCTTACCACCTTGCTTCACCAACTGTTCTGAGACCTAATAGAAAATTTAATGAGGCTGTCATAGAAGTAGGGGCAGCTTGGTGGTTCAATGGTTAGAATTGCTGCCTTGTAGTTGCAACCCTGGGTTCAATTCTGGACAATTCAATTAAAAAACACACTTGTAGGTTCATTGGCTTTTGGGATAATTGGTCCGGTGTGCGTGTGTGTGTTTGTGGACTGGGGTCCCATCCAGGGTGTAGCGTGCCTTGAATAGGCTCTGGCTCCCCAGCAACCCTGAATTGGATGAGGTTAGAAAATGAACGGATGGGTAGATGTTACACATATAAATTAACTCATCAATTTAACACTTACTGTAATTGAGGTGATCATTTCTATGACAAAATTGAGAAAACATTAGAGTATAGCGTTTTTTATGTACAATGATGGTTGGAACAGCTTGTCATTGAAAACTGCTGGGCGTTATGAACTTTCTCACTATGTGAATATTAGGTATTAACACTGCAGCAACTGATAACCTTGCTTCTTTTTTTAAATATAATTTGGGTAATTGTCTTCGTATGTGTATTATCTCTGTAATCATACTGATAAATGCCAGCAGCTGTGAGCAGAAGGCTTTGAGAATTGTTTTTTATTGCTTGCTGTTTTGCAAGTGTATGAATAATGAATGATAATGGATGTGTTTGTGAGTTCTTATTAATTTCCATAACAAAGACTCCCAAAAACACGGTTCTTGTTTTTACTGAATGTACTGAATAAAGGAATATGTTATTTATACTAGGTTAGAACATTAGGCAAACAATTAAAAATATGGCAGGTATATTAGTTTGTGGCTCCTTTAATCAAAGTAAGACATGACATTCCCAGTCATGCTAGTTCTCTATTAATCCAGAATCAGAGTTATCAGTCACCCAAAGTCTGATCTGTCTCTGTGTATGGGAGAACATTGTACATAGAAATGCTAATATGAGATACCTTTCCTTTTCGCAGAAGCCTCCTGATTTCCACTCTGTCCAAGTGCCACCCAGAGTTTATTCCCTTGTCATTATGTCCAATTCGGATCTTCTCAATAACATCGCCAATATCTTCAAGCTGCAATTACAATGAATACAATCAAGTTGCCATATACTCCCAACATATACTGATGCCTTAATTATTTATTTTAAAGTCAAGAAATGTATAAAGTCTTCTTTAAGCACTTTTGTCTGAAATATAATTTTTTCTAGTCATATGGTTTGGTATGACACATCATACAAAACCCAAAAAAGGGTTTTGAACCTGAATCAATAATGAGGAAACTTAGCAGCTATAGTGAACAGTAACACAAAAGTGAAGGATTGAAATACAACCAAAATTATTTAAAACTGTGTAAACCATCAAAACAAATCACTAAACAATTTGGTTATTGAAAAGAAAGACAAAAAACAACAGCACCATCTATAGTTAACAACAGAATCCTTCTCATTGGAAGTGATAGCAGCTTCATTTCACATCATTCAACTGCAGTAACTTTCCCTTATAAAGAATAGTTTCAAACAAACTGAGAAGTGCAAAGCACAAAGGGAGGTTAGCATGAGAAACAAGCTGAGTCTGTGCCACTCAACCACAATAGCTCGTAGGTTGACACTCTTAAAAACAGGAGCACAAAATTCTAAGATGTAAGGCTGAGTTTACCTCAACAATAAATTTGTCAGCAGAATCTCTCTCAAAGTACATTCGCCTTTCTCTCTTATTGACGCAAAGAGATTTTTGCTGAGTACAGACACCATCTCTCCCATAGAGAACAATGAAGACATCGGCATCAGTACCAGCTCCAAAGATGTCACTTGTAAATGTTGTAATCTCATAAGGCACAACTGAAAATAACAAAAAAAACTATTACTGCATATCACGATGCGAAACCCTGCAGACATCAAAATGTATAGCTTGTATAAGTGCTTACATACTGTATACAGTACAGTATGTGCGCCACATGTTTCCTTTTAATTAATTCTGTGTTAAGTCCTTTTCTAATAGGACATTTATGAAAACACAGAGGATTGTGTTGTCTCTGAAATATAAAAGCATGGAAAGGTGGTCTGTGCTTGAAAGCTGAGGGAAGTAGACAACGTTGGTCTACTATAATAAACACTGAACTGCTCTGTGACTTCTTGCATCCCTGCTGTGCATGAGTTGGCTGATCACAGAATAAGGCAAAACAATAAGGTACTGTACCATAGGTATATTCACAAGCAATCAAAATTATGATGTATTTTAAAATGGCCTATTAGAAATTGTATTGAATAGCAGAGTGCCTCAACTCGGTTATTTATTAAATCTAAAAGGCTTTGAATTACATTTTGGTAAAGTTATTTTCCTAGATGTAGAGCAGGGATCTGCAGCCCCGGTCCTAGGGAATACCCATCTAAGACATTTTTTATATCACCATTAAATCCGTTATTTAGATTATATATCAGCTAATTAATCCAATATAATTAATATAGAGAATTTTTCCATTTTTTTTAATTTAATGGGCAATTTGTTATATTAAACAATGTAAAGGTCATTCAGGACTAATACCAAAGCACTCCTTAGAACTCCTGTAAGACTGGTATGGGGTTGTGAAGGAACATGGATGGAGATCTGATGAATTCTCCAGTTTTGAAAAACATAAACAACAAGAAAATAGTGCCATTTTCTTAGTGGTTACTAACGTTTTTCATCATTTACTGTATCTTTTTTTCTAACAAAGCAGCATCTTATATGCCAGCATGATATCAGGAAGGGGAACTGGAGAAGGTGTCAACAATATTAGTAACCATGTTTACCACTGAAAGTCATAAACTCGCAAGCCTTATATGTTAAAAATAGTTGGCCTAGACAGTCACACTGTGTTCGGGCCTTACAGGGGACGTATTCCTCTGTCTGAAGGTCAGCTGGATAGAGGTCTCTTTCAATCGCCCCATCATCCTCTGATTTGTCCAGCCAGCGGCCACAAGGGAACCGCAGCCTCTGACCAAGGGAAGGAGCGTCAATTTCCACCCAGTCCAGGAACCAACCTGCGGAGCCCCCTGTACCAGTGAGGGTACCAGGGGTTGGAAACAGACAGACAGACAGCCCAGGGAGACATTACACCTAAAACAGAGTCACAGAACTGGCAATACACACTCGCATCATGGAGTCACAGACTGCCAGCAAGGGTTTAAATTACGAACTACATGTAGACTGTGATGGACTAGACAGATTTTAGATGGGCAGAAAGACAAAAACAGGATACAAACAGATGACACAAATGGAGCTCTGAATAGATACATAATAATACAAGCAAATAAATGAAATAAGAATCTATAGGTAACACAAGCTGCCAATATGAAGGGATATAACTGTTAATCCTTCATGTTTGCCAGTCATTAACATTATTTGGTCCCCTCTGCATATCCAAAAATCTAAAAAGCTGTTGTTTTTGTATTACAAAATACAGGTCTATCAGAATTAACTAGAATTTTAAATCAAAATGGCTACAAGGTCAGTAGACAATTGCCACAGGAATGTGTTTCTGCAAATAGACTGAAAACAGTAGAATGCCGCAATCCATACAGCTTTGTACACTGAAGTGGGTTTTAAGAACAATGCCCTGAACATATGTACAATGAGAGAGTCACATAAAAAAAAGTTTATTTTATTTTTCTGTAGATTGATTATTTGTGCATTGAAATTGATTGTATTGTTCACCTTACCTGAATTGTCATGACCAATTCTCAGTTTTTTCAACATTCCAATATCTACCGCCTCCACAGTAAACTCATCAATCTGTCCTTTTTCAAACTTATTCTTGTGAGTCTTAGAGGCTTTGAGGTTTATTATTCCTGTTAAAGAAATTATTTTTAAAAGAGAGTAAAAATATTAGTCTTCAGTATTGCTGTTTTGGATTCCCGATGTAAAGGTAGGGACTGAGGAAATAAATAAATACCTCATGTTTTCAAATATAAAATTCCTAAAGAAAATTCTCCAGCAGCATTAAATTGCAAACTGACACTGAGGAAGGTCATGAAAAGACTTAGTCACAAAGTTAATAAAACTGTTCAAATAGTCCTTTCTTGTAAGAATTAAAAAAAATAAGCAGAAGTAAAATGCACTGTATATTTCTGTTGTTATTAAAAAATAGCTACAAGCTATTATTATTTTATACTCAAGCAAGATTTCTAAGGGCTCTTCACATTTGGTATAATGTGTTTACAGAGATTGCACTGTAAATGCCTACCTGTGTCATCCTTTTCTCCATACAGTATAGCAAAGACATTGGCATCTGTTCCAGCATGTTTCTTCTCCCCAGTTTTAACTCTTATGGTGTAAGTAGTAGACTGAGCTGAAAAATAAAATAACAAATCAACCGGGACCTTCGAATTAAAAAATACTAGTTTTTGAACACTTTTCTAAACACAAACTCATAATATTCTGGTAGAAAATCAATCTTTTGTCTGTGTCAGTATATGCTGTAAAAAAACATACCACTGCAAATAGGACGGTGAATTTGGTCTCAAAATGGGAGATAGAACTAAACGTTTTGAGTCTTGAACAGGGAATATTAGGAGTCGTCCTTATACTAGTATTCAGCATCTTCAAAGGCATTGACAAAATCAAACCAGCACACTTTGAAGTGAACCATGTACTGTATCACAGGTGGACCCTATGTGGAAGTGAATTAAAACCAAGAACAGAAAGCACTTCTTCATCCAAAAGGTTATGGGAGTACGGAACAAGCTACCCAGGCGTGCTCTAGAAGGTGATACCCAGGCTTTTCTCAAGAAGCTACTGGATGAGATCCGTGGCTTAATTAACCAATAAGAAAAAAAATAGTGAGACAAGCCAAATGGCCTCCTGTCATGTGTAAACTGTTTTGAGTTTTAATCTCATTTGTTCTTACTGTATATATGTTTTCTTAACTGAGTTATCAGCAACATTTGTAAACAAATTGCTCACTAAGTAAAGCAATTTCCTTCCTTTCTGCAAAGGAACAGGTAAAGGTTCATTCCATGCTGAGAGATAAAAAAAAAATAAAACCTCTATTTTTGGCCTGGGGGGCCTTCTTTAGGTGTGCTCCTCTCATTACTCTATGTTAACTAAGGACCTACCTTTCTGTTCCAGTCCCAGTGTGGCCTGAGACTGCTCATCGCTGTCTGAATTCTTCTTCATAAACGCTTCATCCACTGGCACCAGCTCACGAGCTATTTGACCGTCATCTTCGTCAATTGCCAGCCAACGCTGACACGGAAAGTAGTATCTGTGGTCAAATCAATACAAACCGTAGGATCAAACCATTCAAACCTGTCTTCTGTCAGATGAGGCTACTATACGTCCAAACCGGACTTTTGTTTTCAAATTGCATACACATAAAGCAAGCACAAAGTGAATGTCTCTTTCACTACAGATGGTAATTTAAAATTCCACAAGGGAAAGTACATAGAAATGTTTTTGAAAGCAATGTGTATTTTTACCAGTCATTATTAATTATATTACCCACATAAACTGTGTGAACAGAACAATAATGGAACATATTATCCCTCTCGTGAAAATGTTAGTTTCGATCCCATTTAGCACTTTCTGCTACCTCACAAGTATGAAATTGTGAAACGGAGTGATGATATATGCAGGGTGATCTGTGAATTGCTTAACTGAGCTATAGGAGGAAAATCCCTCAGTTTGATGTGCAATGTCCGTGCCAGTCTTGCCTTCTTTAATGCATGAGCTGAGGAAGGACACAGGAGGTATGGATCATTTCCATGCAGGCTCCTGACTGTATATAACTTAATGAAATTCTAATTCAAATAGTTTCCCAAGTGATTAAATGTTATTACTTCCAAAACCAATCTGTAAACCTTAGTTTAAATTTGTTTCTCAAAATGAATTAATATGAATCTTTTTTGTATTTAATTTACAAGATATACTTTATATTAATTTAATCATTTCAAACAAAAGATAAATAAATCCATACTATTTTGAGAGACAATAAAATTCCAATTATTCAAGAGTCTGAAGATTAAAGCTTCTCTTTTCTGGAAGGTGGCTACTTGTTTTAATAGTTCAGGTGGGTAGCTGCATCAGCATGCGTAGGCTGCAAAGGAACAAGTAATAGGTTTATTCCAAGCTGAAAAAAAGAAGAAAGAGAACACAACGTTTTGGCCATGGAGCCTTCTTCAGGTGTGATCACCTGATCACCTTCAGGTGTGATCACGTTCAGGTTGACACACCTGAAGAAGGCTCCACGGCCGAAACGTTGTGTTCTCTTTCTTTTTTTTTTCAGCATGGAATAAACCTATTACTTGTTCCTTTGCTACTTGTTTTAATGGTTATGATGGACATTAGGGACCCCATAGGTGGATCTCCCTGTCATTATGAACTGTTTAATCCAACTCATACCCCAAGTAATAGAACATGCAAATAAAATAGTGTTTATATAAGCAATTCAGGAGGTTTAAATCAAAGTATGTTTATTACTCTTTTGAAACAGTTAGGAAACGACTTTCCTGGGTTTTACATCTTGAATAATCCAACTCCAATATGCACACACAATCTAATTAAAACATACTGCATTTCAACGGCAAGATCTGCAGTTATCACCTTTTGCCACCAGAGGACGCCGTAAGACTGAGCATTACCATCGACGCAATCCGGGTGTTTTCACCTCAATGTAACATCTTTTTACAGAAATCGAATTTCATATGCATTGTTTTTTGCATTCCATATGCCATGTTTAATAGTTTCACAGCTCTTTAACTGTTGCTCACAGAATGGAGAAACAATACATTTGTTACAATTCTTATTATCAAAAATGTTGTTTTTTTTAGATTAGAAAATGTTTTTTGTAAATAAATAAAATGGTAATGCAAAAAGGAATAAGGCTTTAAGGCTTCTTCAATGTCTTTTATGCATTTTCTGAATCCACTAGAACATTCCTATACAGATGCCAAACTGTACCATAAGAGTCATGCAACACTAACAGGCCTGCTCAAAGGTTGCAATGAGACACTCAGTAGAAACCTCATGGCATTTTCAAGGGGAATTATGTCTGACAAGCTTCTCTGAACTGTCACAGATTTGCTGTGCTACTCTTTGATCTGAAGAGATCTGTGATGATGAAAAATGTAAGAGCTGAATTGTTGTTTTCATCTCTGCAAATACATGTTCTTGCTTCTCCATAGCTAATGTGGGTTGCAGAATCTAAAGAGAAAGTTACTCTACAAAGAGCATCAGTAAGTGACATAATCAAGAAATAATCAGCAATTGACACTACGAACAGAAGCAGTTAAATTGGGCAATCTATGAGGTTTTTACTTTAATGGCTAAAAAAGATTGATATATCGACCAAAAGTGCTTTTTAACAAACAAAAGATGTGCTCATCTGAGGGAGGCATCTTCTTCAAGCTGAGTAGTAGACGCATAAATGTACAGTAGTTTAATAACTCAAGCCTTGATAACTCTATATAATTTTATAGACTGCTTCATTCAGGTCTTGGACAGAACAGACACATTTCTTCTAGGAATTCTACGTATCACCAGTGACTGAGTGACTGATGAATTTGTTATCTTCCCAAATTTAGAGTCTTGGTCCTCTGTCATAATGAGGCATGAAAAAGGCTGAAAATCCAGGTATAAAATATAACATTTTACCTTAATTAGCAGAAAATGCTTAGAAGTCTTTGACTGTCCACACACCCTGTATCTGTCAAGATTATGTGTCATGATGCAGCATTATAGCCAAAGTAAGGGACAGACCACATTCCCCCACAAAATATATCAAATACATGTCAGATACATAAACCCGGAACAATTTCACTGGGGTGAAAGAAGTGTGAATGAAAAATTAAAAAAAGAAAACTGAACCATTAGCATTCAAAAATATGAGTTTTTCTCAGCCAAGCTGATTGTGTAACAGGAGCAGAAAAAACATGAAGTCAGTCATCCTTGTCTGAGGTACACAAGAACTTTGAGCTTGCATTTGACTGTCAGGAAACTCAGAAAGTAGTATCAAGTTGAAGACAGTCAAGAAACTAATTTTCATTGCATCGCCAAGATTGTTAATGTACTGTAGGGCTCCACCATTGAGTTATAGCACTGGAAGCCTCCCTTGGTACAATTCAAGAACATTTATCCTGTAGTCCAATTGATGGGGGGAAGGAAAGCTTCTATAGGGTATTACCATTCTCACCTATGGAAAGAGACATGATCCAAGGTGGCAGTGAGCTATCTTAAGATGACTGCCCCCAGAAAAGAAATTGTTCTATGATTTGTTCTATGATGGTTCTGGCAACCCCTAAAATACACCCTCATAACATTTGCTTTTACTGTTATTAAATATTATAAGGCTTTGCAGATACATGACACTGAAACTGTAGGGTACTTCTTCAGTCTCTTATCAAGGTATGGTTAGATCTCACTTAACTATGGCAGTTCTCAGACGTGGGCCTGCAGTACTCACGTTGTGTCATCTTTGCAGTCTGTGATTTCAACTCGGTCCAAAAACCAGGCGGAATGAGCCTGCGAATTGTCGTGGCGAATTCGCAGCTTCTTCAGTGGACCCATATCAATCGCACTGATTGAAAATATATCCTCCTGTAGGTTACAAACAGGAGTGGCCATCAAGCACAGCTTACAGTAGGTACGCTGTGTCCTGCAAGTGGTTCGCTTAGAATTGTGCTTTAATTTCCATATGAAGCAGGGAACATTGATAGAGGAAATTGGAACCAGTGATCCTTTATTTAATGCAGCTAGGCAAACCTTCCTATTAATGGACTGAAGTACTATAGAGCTGAAAAAACAATTTAAACAGCAAGCAATACAGTAATCAAAAACGATCTTTAAAAAGGGTTTTGTAAACACATTTTGCTCTGCCATTTACAGTACGTTACACATTCATCTTACATCATGTTTGTTGATAAATAAAATGCAGAGATGTCAATGAGATTCACTGTGTAAAAACAGGATGTATCCATTAATCCATTCAATTCATACAAGAACCTTCTTTTCTCCAAGCCTGAAATGGGTTAAACTACTATGTAATGGAAGTCTTCTTTGCCTGGAGTGTGCCTGCAGGTGTATTTAAATATATACAACAAAAGTGAATGCAGCAACAGACATACAAATCTCTACATCATGCAAGATTTCATAGCTCCAAAAAGAGCTTTTTAAGTAAAAAAAAACACAGTATTTAGTATGGCCCAACAAATCTAGGTCTGCTTAGAAAACACTCCATTATTAATGTACAGGGAACACCAATGAGTAACAGTACACAAGGCAGAAATAGAATTCCTAAGAATCACTGGAGATGAACTACCTCATTGTCAGGCTTCCTTCTCTTTTTTGCAAGCACAGCCACTTACCTGACACAGGAAATAAAAAAACACTTTGGCACAGCTATTGACATGTGTTACAATACTTTGTGGGAAATGTAAACCACAGGAGGAGTCCGTTCTTACCTGTCCTTTCTCAAACTTATTGAGGTTATTCGACTTTTTCAGGTGACGTTCTCCTGTGTCTCCCATTTCTCCATAAATATTTATGTAAACATTGGAATCTGTCCCAGCGCCCCACATGTTCCCAGTGAAGACATGCACTTCATAGGTGTTCTCTGTTAAAAAAGATAATAGCCCAGCGTGTTCTGCCACAATCAATTTAAAAACTGCGGTCCAGTCCAGTTTCTAACACAACTAAGTTGTACTAGACTTTCTTTCTTCAGCTTGTGAATATGTGGACGTGCAATCAAATGTTTGAAAGAAGACATAATGAGGATATGGACGCCACAGTGCGGCCTTGTAGTTCTGGGACCCTGGGTTAAATTTTGAGTTTGTCTGTTCTTCATGCATGTTTTCCATCTGGGTACTCCAGTTCCCATAGTCTAAAAACATACTGGTAGGTTAACTGGCTTCTGGGAAAATTGGCCCTAGTAGAAGTGTGTGCATGTCTTTGTGTATGTCTGTGTGTGCCCTGTTATAGACTGGCATTCTGTCATGGCTGTACCCCATCTTGAACCCATTGCTTGTTGAGATAGGATCTAGTTCTCCTGTGACCCAGAATTCAATGAAGTGGTGAGAAAATGGATGGATAATGATATAATATATAATGAGGGTGCTTGCACTCTCCATTTCAAACATTTTGTGTTCTGTACTACTTGTATGATTTCATTGTGTTTCATTTTCGAATTACCTTGGAAAAGCATGCCAACCCTGCAGTCCGATCCATGATTGTTTAACAACTTTAAGAATCACTTTTTAGGAAATGGGGCAAAACAGTTAGCTGAATTCAGCAGATACTATTAGATAGATTAGGATTACTGTTAGTGCGAACTCCAAAAAAAAAAAAAGAAGAAAAATCTCTCTCGTAGAAGTGGAGTTCAACAGCCACAATGATTGACGAGAGACTATTTACCTTCCAGGTTTCCATCATCGTCTGGTAACAGCTCCACCACAAGTTGCCCATCTTCCTCACTCCTGGCCAGCCAGCGCTGGCAGGTAAAGGTATAGGTCTCCACCACTTCCTCTGGGATGGCCTCCTCTTCTTCCTCTTCCTCCCCCTTCTTCTTTTTCTTCTTCTTTTTGTCCTTTTTGTCCTCCTTCGGCACTGTAGACATGGTGAGCCTCTTGATGACAACAGATTCCAGGTACCAACCATCTCCAATGCCAGTGCCATCGTGGCCAATACGGATTTTGAAGATCTTTCCTACCTCAAAAGCCTCAATCTACATTAGAAACAAGAGTTACAAAAGGTGTTTTTTCACTGGATGTAAAATTCTGTCTTGCATATTTCAGTATAAAGACAACAAGTCTTTGAGCATCACTACTTCAACTAAAGACACATTCAAAATAAAATCCCAAAATACGAACTTGAAAACTTGAAAGTAATCTTAAGAGATTTACTACTAAATATTTATGTTGTCCATATGCTAGTGAGGTGAAACTACTTCTTCTGTTTATGGGTAATTGGCTAATGGGTCTTTAAGTTAACAAGGCTTTTATTAAAACCACTAAAGAAGAGGTCTACAAAATACTTTCTTTACTGTGTCCAAAGTTAAAACTCATGATCGAGACTCCTCGTGTTTTATTGCTGTGATGCACTCTGAAGTCTTAGAGTGACTTAACAATACAACAGACCATGTTGTTAGGCTTCTATTCAATGCTCCTTTCTACTTTACTATATCTTACATTGCTTTAGACAATTATTTTTATTCTGGACTTGGGGTAACCATACTTCTCCAATATGCTGCAACTGCAGTGTGGAATGGCAAAAAGCCTTCAGTTTCAATTTTCTTTAGTTCTTGATGTGTGAAGTAATACATTTGAACAGGCTAGTCTTAATTAGTGATTTTTTAATCCTCCAATTAATCATCTTATTAATGGGTTGTAACACAAAAAACTATGAAGTGTCCTACAGATGTGACCTCAAAATATATTTTGATTCCAGCATGCTAACACCCAGAATTAGACAGAGGCTTTTTAAATAATAAAAGGAAACATTTTACAAGAAAATAAAAAATGAGTGCAAAGATGTATTGTAAGAAGGAAACTGAAGGACTACAAGCACCTTAAATATCTCGGTTGTACCCCTTTCAAAGTTATTAGATCTGCTTTTGAGGTAGATGAGCTCCGTCTTTCCACTGTCCCCATACATCTGGATGAAGACGTTGGCATTAGTGCCAGCAGCAAATTTGTCACCAGTGAGCACCTTTATTTCATAATTAATCACTACAGAACAAAAACAGAAATGCAAGGGTGTTATTTGGTAAGACAAAATAGAAAAGCTTAGACATTTCCATATCACATCTCAAGTATTGTTTTTTACTTCTTCAACATAAGGAGTTAAAGTGTAAACATGAGTTAAAAGGTTCCTCTGTACATTTTTCAATGTCCATAATCTCGCTGGGGTAGATCTCTATCTCCACTTTCCCATCTGCCTCATCCTTGCAGAGCCAGCGGTGACTGGGGAACATGTACTGCTTGCCATGGGCTGGCACCTTGATCTGAACACTGTCCAGGAACCAGCCAGCTCGCAGACCTTCATTGTTGTGTCCAATGAGGAGTCGGTTGATCTGTTAACAGATAAAGAATTATTTAACTGCTGAGGTAATGGTCAAACCAAGTTATTTTCTTAAAAGGTTCAAAGGTTAATACTGCTGAGGCAAATGTACAGTATCATACTAAAAGTGAAGTTAAAAAAGTATTTTCTGACGGCAAATGAGATTTAATTATTGAGTACCCCACTAAAATATGTTTTTAAGGTTGGATTTAATTGAAATGGACTGGATTTTAATCCTTTAGGTTATTTACCATGAATTGCTGCATTTTGGATTGTTTTGTACTGTAATCTGGAGCTGCCACCTACTGTTGCAAATCAGTTTCAATAAAATCATCAGCAAAATAAACAAATGACCACATTGGTGCTTAAGTGATATCCATTTTGAATACTATTTTATGATGCAAGTCATTTATCCATTTATCCATCCTTCCATCCATTTTGTAACCACTTTATCCAATTCATGGTGGCGGGGGAGCCAGAGCAAGCCATGAGCGCAAGGCAGGATATAACCAGAATGGGATGCCAGTCCATCACATTGCACACACTAACAAGACAGTTTTCTCAGATGTCAATTATCAGTGAGAAGAAAACCCAAGCACCCCACCAAGAGGTTACCCACATAAACACAGGAAGAACATACAAACTCCAAGCAGGTAGCACACCAGGTCCAGAACTGAATCCAGGACCACATAGCTGCAAAGCAGCCATGCTAATTATTGTGCCACCATGCCATCTGTAAGTCAACATATTGTCATTGGAATGTTGAAATTCTTATGAATTTAGGAATTACTGATTGATGTATGAAAATGCATGTTCTATTATGAATTAAAAAAACAAAAATGCCTTACTCTTCCAATATCAAAGGTCTCAATAGTGAAAACATCGACTCGTCCAGTTTCGAAATAATTTTGTAGGTTGTTGTCGGAAACCTCCAGGACCATTTTGCTTGTATCTCCCTTCTCACCATACAGCTTGACGTAGACCTTTGAGTCTGAGCTGGCACCACTGATATTGCCTGTCTTCACAGCAATGTGGTAACTGATGTCTGAAAATAGTAAAAACCAAAGCAAAGTAAATGACTTCCTTACTGCATGGTGATTATCAGTGTGTATCTCCGGAAGAATAACAGTCTTCAGAAAACAAATCCTATCATAATGTTTGTGAAACAACAAACAGTTCCCCAGGTACAGTAGGTGTGGTTAAGAAATGACAGCCTTTCTGAAAATGTATTAGCACATTTCTCAGCATCAAAACTGTGGTGCATCATTAAATAAACAACCTTTCCTGACTGTTCATGGGAAAATAAGGTCATGGTGACTCACTGTGAAGCATCTTTGCATCTCCAGATGGTACTAACTCACGCACTATCTGACCATCATCTTCATTCCTGTCAAGCCACCTGAAAAATCAAATGGTGCATTTAGTGTATTTTTCCTGCAGATAAAGAACAGGACACCTTATATGACACATTTTAACAATATTTTACATTTCAGAAAAAAAATCTAAGGACTGAAATTTGTATTAATTGCATGCAATACCAAAACAAAACCTAAACTTTGTTATTGCTATTGTGGAGATTCCACAGTATTAACTTTTAATTAGTGTTAATTTTGTCTTGCCTGTAGCAGGGAAATTCAGTGGCTTCTGTCTCTGGTTTCCCCTCCTCCCTCACCACCACTTTGTCCAGGAACCAGCCACAGCCTCCTCCTCTGCCATCATGACCAATCCTCACCCTCCTCACACGCTTCAAGGACACTGCCTCTATCAGAAACTCATCTGCCTGTGAAGGACACCCAGAATGTCGAACAAGAGGACATATCAAACACCCAGTCCACTTCAGGGTGCTTCTGTTAGAAATGGGGTGAGGGAGGTGTTTGGTAAAAGTTCCAATGTTGAAATTTGAGCTGCATTATTAGCTGCATTTATTAGAATTTGTAACTGCTGTTGGGGTGTTTTATCTGTGCTTCTCAGGAACATTAGTGTATCTTCACTGAGGGATTTTTATCACATTTGATTCTCCTTCCTAAGAGTAATTAACTTTGCAACACCAAAAGGGTAGTGCCAAATATACCATTGGGGTCTCACTGATTAAGAGGCACAAGTACAGAGGATATCATCACTTTGACAGGGCTGAATTGCATTAATAATTAAAAAAATAAATAAAACAGAATACAACCCAGGCCTAAAACTAAATAAAATTCTAGATGGTCCAGAGTGAATGGGGACCTATGTCACTACTCTAAAAATGCATCACTAACCTGGAGAGAACGTCTCTAACCTGGGGATTCCTTATAAAGTAGATCATAATTTCCTAGAATAACAGAATGGTAAAATGACAGAACTGTCTTAGTTCTGTCAATCGAATAATTAACACCCAGGGAGTCTATTTACATTTATTAAAGGCCCTTTAGCCTCTGACACCAGGTCAGTTGCTACTGCAGTTCCTTCAGAGACCAGCCTACCACCGATGTTTTCTGGATTCTGAGTAGATTCCACATCTGCTCATACCAAGTGAACAACCTGAAGCGTGAGACTCACAGTGAAGCCGGAAATCTCACTTGTAAGAAAACAGCTTTGCAAAAGCATCTTAAAATGACTTTGCCACAAGTTGAAATAAGAGTTCTCATACTCACATTTCCCTTCTCAAACTTATTGACGTTGTTCTTGCTGGTGTACAACACCCGTTCTCCAGTGTCTCCAAGTTCCCCCAATAGGCATAGGAAGACACTGGCGTCAGTGCCACTCCCGCTGACATTCCCCGTGCAGATTGTGATTCTGTACTTAACAACTAGGAAACAAGACATGGTCTGTTCAATAAAAGGACTTAAACCACATGAAGACATTGTTTAAAATCAGCACATCAGTTGTAAATTATGCTGTACTTTAATTCAGGAGGCCCTAATACGCGGTATTTATCCAATCTAAACAATATCTCTTAATATGTCTAAGATGAGGGTGGTTTTCCTGTTAAATGTTTCCTTTTTATTCTTTTACAAAGAAAAGGTCATGACATTCATTGTAGCAGTTTTAGAGTTTGGATTGTAGACATGATGCTAAAACAAATGTTATGATTTTTTTGCACACGTTATGTCATTTGCACATGTGACTAAATCATTATGAATCAGCAACATGAAATTGATTATAATGTTTTGTGTAGCTGTTGTGAAGGAGTTATGAATCCATTATGCAGGAATATTCAAATAAGTTACTTGATGTTTTGTACAAATACAGTTGTAATCTACACCAGGGATTTCCATTTCTGAATGACTACAGACGGGCTGGTTTTAATTCCATCCAAGCTTAATTACCTAATCAAAGCCTTATTAGAGCTTACAAGTTTCTTGAATGGAATATTTGCAAGTTCTATTTTCTACTTTGGAATTTAATTTGAATGATGAAATGCAAGTTCTTAAAGGTGATCTCCAACATGTTTGAAAACAGTTCCAGAATTCAGAATTCTACTAAAAATTGTGCAACTGAGACCTTAACTGGAACACAAACCAGCAGGTATGTTACAGTATATCCTCCAGGCCCAGGATTTGGATCCTCTGGTCCACATCACAAAATACATTTTCACCTCATAACAGGTTGATTTTGGAAGAAAAGTACCGTGATACATTGATTAAATAATCAATTTGAAAATGTGAAATTTGAGAATTTGAAAAATTCTGTTGCCGGTAGACTTCACTTTCTCACTTTAGAGTATGTCCAATGCCTAAACCCTTCTATGACTGAAAGAATTCAAAATACAAATAAATAAAATACATTCTTGTTCTCTTACTTGAAAGAGGATCTTTGACGATTTCACCCTGAGCAGGCAGCTCTCTGATTATCTCATTGTCGTCTTCATTGACGTCCAGCCAGCGGCCACAGTTAAATGTGTACTTCTCCTTTGTCAACGTCTTCATTAATGTGACCTTTATTAAAACACAATTCATTGCAATTTGAACTGATATGCACTATATGACTATCAGTCCTCCTTCACATGAACACTATCAAAGGGTGAAACACTGCTATTTTCTAAGTTCCTTATGCTGTACATGGTTGCGGGGGAGCCTAAACCACCGAGCAACAAGCTCAAGGTATGACACAAGGTATGAGAATGTACATGTGAACACAGTGAAAACATATGAAAATTCCCAAATCCCAGTGTTCAAAAGGTCTTTGTGAACTTTTTACAGTATGCAGTCTTTTATAAGGTTGACATGTAGGACTAGTGTGAACTGGAATGGAAGAATGCTGGACACAAGGGCTATTGTGTTATTCTATACATATACAGAATATACAGTGTTATACAGGAATGAGTGTGACAAAACTAAGTAAACTAACCAATACCAATTGTATTGAATAAGTGATCATTGGCAAATAGGGAAGAGGAAGATGAGCGTGATCCTGGAATGCTGCCAATCGGAATAGACAGGGAAGCGTGGTACTGTAGATAACAGAAAATATTTAAGGAGTGTTCTGGTTTAATCGCTTTGAGAAAAATACACCGAGCATCTCCTTGTGTTTCACTCCTATGCATGTGAAATAAATACTTCATTTAACTTCTGAGATGGACACTGAATGTCTTTTAAGGGGAAGTAGGAAAATTCCTCCAACACCAGGAATGGAGTGCAGAAGTACAGTGCAGGGGGGCCCAGCACTGTAAGACATCATTAATAACCACTGAGCCACCATGCCAGCCAGTCCCATTTCAATAACAACCTAATTAAACCAAGACAACACCTACAAGAAATGTTTTGCTCTAATGTTATGGATCAATTTAATATTAATTTAGTTAATATTCTGTATATGTGAGTTAAGAAATAAAGGTAATGTAAATTGATCTTAACTTGAAGAAGCATAATGAGAAAAAAGTTAATTTTATACTTCAATATCTTAGAAAGTGAAGTAAAATGCAACATCTGAAGAAAGTGATTTCTTCTCTGTTATACAGGGTCAACGCATTTCAACAATAAAACTTAATAGTGTCACGATCGCGACCCCTCCTCTTAAGGGCACTCCAGCCCTTCCTTGTTTGCCTCATTCCCCGCACTTGTTCCTTGTTCCAGCCCCTTTTCAGTTCCCCCTTAAAAGCCAGACGCTGACGCTATTCAAGGCTCTGCATTGGTTCCCGCATCAACCTGTTAAGGTTTAAGTTTCTGTTCCTGTTCCTGTTCCCGTTCCCCCTGCTGGTCCCGACCCGGTTCTGGTTTATAATCATCTGTCTCGGATGGATCGCCTGGCCTTGGACTTTTGCCCTGTTTGGATTTCCCTTTTGACTCATCCCTGGATTGTTTGCCTTGGCCACACCTCCCCCGACCACCAGCACTCCATGGACACGCCCCCCGTTTTCATTCCCGTATCCTGCATGCCTTTTTCCCAGTGTTTCCTCACTCTTCCCTGGATTGTGTCGTCTGCATAGGGTCCGGAAAGAACTCTCCCTGACAAATAGTGTGTAGTAATATTGAAAAGTAGTGAAATTGATGATTTAACAGTTTCTTTTCTCACATAAACACATTTTCACATTGTGTTGCTCGCAATGTTTAAAATACATGGCATAATATTTTTTTCCTACCTTGCTCAGATGCCAACCAGCAAATGGGTGTCGTTTCTCGTGCCAAATTCTAATTTTAAACAAAGTTCCTAAATCAGGTAGCTCAATCTGCAAGGTTAAAAAAGACAGTAATTTGACAGTTCGGTAACCAACAAAGAGGATACATACTCTAATCCCCAGAAAATATAAAAAAAACATGTTATGGAAGGGATTTCCTCATTAAAAATTTAAATGTGTTACTGAACTTACCATAAATTTATCGACTTGTCCAGCTTCAAAGTTGTCTGAATTATTATCTAGTCTCATTTCATCGGACTTCCCCTTTTCTCCATAAATCTGCAGGAAGACGTTGGCATCTGTTCCTGCACCTTTCAGATCACTGGTCCAGATCCACAGGGACCAGGGGTGTTCTTCACCGGTCAAAGAAAAGATCGAGATATTCTATCAGAGGAGGGAACACTGCTCTAAGAGAGATTCACTTTATTATCTAGGTTCCAGAACGTTTTAAAATTTAACTGCACTTTGGAAAGCCAGTGATGCAATCTAATGCTTTTAAAATTAAAAGACTTGAAATGCACCCACAATGGAAAAATAAAACTTAATCTTTTTAGAATATAATCTGTTTCTAGTTCTTATTAAAAAAAATATCACATGAATGTGTAAGGCAAAAAAGTCAACCTTACTTTCCTCTGCATTCTGATGTCTTATACAGGAGAATAGGAATCATTACTTATATTTATTATATTACATCACAAGTGTTCCTTGTGATACAATAAGCAATCAGTGCTCCTCCTAAGACTTATCGAATTTGGTAGTATTTACTGTATGATGAAAAATTGGCTGGTTAACTTTTGATAAGTACAGTAAGATCCTTCTTCATGTCTCTGTATGAAAGCCATAGAAATAGACATACTTTTCTGCCTCTTTTGACGAAGTGACACCATTTCATAAAGCTCCCTCTCAATCAGCCCATCTCCCTCTTCTTCATCCAGCCATTTGCTGCAAGGAAATGTCTGCTCGACACCAGTAAAGGGGCAGTATACCACCACCTGTAACATCATATGGCATACAGGAAAATGACTTGTGGTTTCAGACAAGTAAGCAGTTAAGTAACAATTGCAAGCGATTGTTTAAGGCATCTCAGAAACTTTCCAGAATGCTGTTCTGATGAACAAACAGAACAACAAACAGAAACAAATGTTCTGCTTTTCAATCTGATTGGAATATTTGGAAAACAACGAAATCCTTCTAACTTAATGAAAATACAAGGTACAAAAATATTAGTATAAAAAATCTGTTTCTGCCTTTAATGACTCCTTTTTAAAAAATGACAATTATTGAAAATAATCAATTTCCAATTACGTTAAAGACAGATGGCACTCTAAAGTGTTAAGACTAGAGATGTTCATAGAGCACCATGTTAGCACTGTGCACCTGAACCTGAATATTAGGGGGAAAAAAAGAAATAAAATAAACAAATAATCTGTCATCTCCCACCTTTTCGCAGTACCACCCTGCGCTGACCCCACAGTTGTCATGGCCAATGGTGACCCTGCTGAGCGGACTGAGGAGAGCAGCGATCTCAACGTTGAAAATGTCTGTGAGCCCCCGTTCAAACTGGCCCCCCTCCAGGAATATCTTGCCACTGTTCTTCAGTCCCTTGGAGCCATGTAGGATAATATGAACCTTGGAGTTTGTGCCAGCACCTCTGACATTCCCAGTCACCACAGAGACATTGTAGACAATACCTACAGGATCCAGTTACCAAGCACAGTCAGATTCATTTCTGTGAGAGTGTTCATATCAGTGCAACACTCTAGCCTTGATTCAAGGCCGCAGGATCTTTTTTACTTAATAGAACATACAGTAGATTACTAAAATATAACTTGATTTGTTATACAACTCCTTAAAAGGGTAAGTTCCCCAACTAGTAAAAATCCTCTGTACATACACAAATACACCTGATGTTTTTCTTCTTAATCTGATGACAAGATTAAAAATATTAGTTTAATTTTCCATTTGATATTTAATATCCAATCTAGTTGAACATGCAGTATTTTCCATTACAACTATTTATGTTGGGTCTCCCAAAAAATCTACAGCTACCTAGACAGGCACATTCTTAGTATTTTAAGTTTGTTTCTTAGTATTTTAACTCAACAAGTTCATGTTCAGGCTGGCAATATCTTTGATAACGAGTCCATGTATAACTTAAAACGGTTTCAATTTCATTTCCTCCTAATTCTTAAAATACACTGTATTACAGGACTCAACAAAGGTAGTCATTATTTCGTTTTTTTTAATTTGTATATCTCAATGCAGGACAAATTAAGAGGAGGTGTCATTTATACCTGTGGGTTGTGTGCCTCCCACTAAAATGTCTCTTTGAATTTTCCCATCATCCTCATCTATTGCAAACCAGCGGTTCACTGGGAACTCATACACTGCCTTATTTCCCAGGTCATCCACTATCACCTGAAGAAAAAGATGCATTGAAGAAGTGTTAGATCTAAAAATATTAAATTCCAAGACATGAAGAAAGTGGTCAATCAAACTATCATTATCTTGTGAATCCCCGCACCACCTGATTTCAAACTACCATGATAGGGTTTAATCAATTTGGACTTGCTTTTGTCTCTTTAACAATTTTAAGGACATAAGAATGTAAGGTTCCAAATGAGAAGCATTACTAACCCATTTGGTTGCTAGTAGCTTATTAATTTGATTCATCCAGAATTGAAAACTTAAGCTATCATTATCTTGAAAACTAGGGACAATACAATTGCTATACAGTAAAAGAAGCATTCTGTATAACCCATTCTGGTCACTGTGCTACCTTTGTGTTCTCTTCTCGACATGCATCCCTTACTATCAACTACAAAACAACTGTTTTGGCAATAAAGTAATGAATACGTGGCAACAGACCTGCTGGGAATCATTGAAACCTGCTGGCAATTTTCTAGTTAACTATTATTGTTGCCATACTTTTTATCCATCACTCCATTGGTATCCATTGGTAATCAAAATTACCAATTTGATTTCTAACCTCTGTTTGATACTGTACCCTGGAATTATATAGTATTCCAGGGTATTCCATTTTGTTGACTGTTTAAATATCAAGTACTATCAGTATCAAGTAATCTCCAAAATCCTCAGAGGTCCCAGTTCATATTATAACATGTTCATAACAGAGAGATATCAAAACTCTTAAGTCATAACAGTCTCTAGAAACACCTTGATCCAAAAAATACCACAGATGTCTTCTGTGTATGAACGAGTAGTACCGTATGTGCACAGTGCCTGTCTATAATGGCCTTCTGTTGTATAGATTAAATTGGAAAGACAAATGAAAAGCCCCTTTCTGAAAAAAGAGAGGTAAAATTATTTTACCTACTCCAAATACACACCAAATAATAATTAATAATTCCTTATATAGCACTTTTCTGGATACTACAGTCTTTGACAGCCCATCTTGTCCAGTATCTGTGGTACAGAGAGAAGAGTGCCCCCTACTGGTCCACCAATGCTACGTCTTACAGCAACTAGATTTTCCTTAGGGATCTTACATTCAAGCACTAATCATACCACGGTTTGTTTAGTTTCTGAGTTCTAAACAAGTAACCATTTATCTGAACTAAAACTGCATTAACTTCTGAAAATCAACTGAAACCTATGTTATCATCTGCTGCAGTGGGAGTAATACTAAATTAGTAAAAGCTGCCAACAAGGTGTTGTTTGTGTAGCATTCCTACTATTTAATTTCACTTACATTTATTAACATTTATGACAGCGTGCTAAGGTGGTAAGCAAAGGCCTGTTGGAAGATTTGTGTGAAAATAAAGATGAAGATTTTGAAATGAGCCATTTTGAAGACTACCAATTCCTCTCTACCACCATCTTTACTACTGACAAAATAACAGTCAATAAATCACAAAGTAGCATTATCCTCATCAAGATCAACCTATGGTTTTATTTCAATGAACTATTTTTTCCAGCAGCATTTAAGCACATTGATATGTACAAAAATGTACAAAAGCATTAAGACAACTCTGACGGGGGATTAGGTTGTAATAATCAACTCACACAACTCCTACAGGGAGATTTTCACACATTTATTCTCCACTTGTCATGGCTTAATGCTTAATTCATGTGAGCTTCATTAATAAGGAACAAGGTCATAAGATACCAAGAGTTAAAGAGCAAGAATAGGCTAGAGGAAAACTGAGTCCCTGACTGGGAGCACATGAGGATGAAATATTATACTGTTGCTAAGAACATAAAAATAGTTACAAACTAGACACCATTTGTCTCATCCAGCCTGATTTCATAGTTAGTGGCTTATTGATCCAAGAATTTTATTTAGCTATTTCTTGAAAAAGGCCATGGTAAAGGTTTCAATTGTTTGACAACTTTCAAATTCCCAAGGAAAATTCAAGAAACAGCAGATTCTTCTATAAATAAGCTATTATCATCCAAACACATGGAATGACCTCCTCTCATTTGTAACTTTCTCATGCTTTGTGATAAAGGACTGTATGAAATGAACAGGTATGAAACGAAACAGACTTTTGTCATCCTACAAGTATGACATACATACTGTACAGTATTACATAAACAGTAAGCAGAGAGTGGCATGAGATGGTGCATTCTGACATCTCTTCATGTCTGAGGATATTGCACTGGAAAAGGAACATTCATACTGTACATGACCAGGACTGTGCAATTCCATCCAGTTCATCATACCTTCCAAGATAACACTGCGGTTAGTGGGTGCTCACAGTTTTTGAAGTTTCCAAATATCCCAGGGCATGTCAGCAAAATGAATTCCAAATACAGACCTCAGGTAAAGCATTGGCCACCCTTAAAAGCAACTGTATCTTCCTCAACCACTTCTTTAGATCCCAGAGACATAGAGAATATCCAATACATTTATTCTGTATTGCCTGCTTAGTTGTATCACAACACTTACTTACGAAAACCTACCTACAGTATGAGCTATGATAAAGTGGAGCAACATAGTACAGTATCAGTACCAGATTTTCCAAATTAGCTAAAATAAATTGAAAGCTATACAAGTCATGATGGATTCTGTCACACAATTAAACTAGCCTAAAAGGCACCTGATACATTATCAAAATCAGACATTATAATAAGAATGCAAAGAATAGCAAGGAGAAGGTGTGTGATGAGTGTAATGAGGAGGAGGAGAAGAACAGTGGTTAATTTTGAAAAGATAATCCATTAATACAAAACCAAACAAAACAACATAAGGTAGCACTTAACTGATATTATTATGCCAATTACAAAACGTCATACCTTATCAAGACACCAGCCAGCAGAGGAGCCTTTGTTGTTGTGGCCAATGGTAATCTTCCTCAGACGACCCAGATTAGGGGCTTCAATGGTGAATTTGTCCTCACTTCCCCTTTCAAAGTTGTCTTTGTCATTGTCAAGCCTTCTTTCACCTTGACATAATTAATTCACAACAAATTTATTAATGCACATACAATATATCACTGGATTCCCAGTATACGGTATACTTCAAGAGAACAAAATACAGAGTAAGAGGCCAAGATAACAAAATACAATACCTGTTACTTGCATTTATTTTATACTCAGCTAATTCAACCAGATTAAGCGGGCTAGATGGCGTTGTTTCCTTGCAACCTTTCTTATTTTCACTAAATAAGTCCCTAGTTCACATGCTTAATTCATAGCTAAACAATGTATGGCTTTTTTAAGACTTCTGTTTTCAGATGATTCAAAACAATATACAGGTTACTTATCTCGCCATTTACAGATCGATGCATTCCACATTTCCAATGGAACGTGATGTACAAATACAGATCACTTTGCCCCCTTTTCATAATCCCTACCTATTTTTTTCTTTCATCCTCCCCACCACTTCATACAGTATTTTGTCTGTCTCTTTCTTCCACACACCAGAAAAAGTGTAGTAGACTAGAACTAACTATACTTGTTCAACACAGTAACTACAAACTATAACATTACAGTTGTAAAGTCTTTTCTGACAGGTTTTGAGACACAAATTGGATGAATTCAGGATTCATTATCAATCTCGTATAACAAACTAAGTCATGCTAAGCTGCCTATTGATGTAAACAACTTTTTCAATGCTTTAAAAGAAATAAAATTAGTAATAAATGGTTACCTGTATCTCCATTCTCCCCAAAAATATTAATGAAGACATCTGCATCAGTTCCACTGCCCTTCACATCTGCAGTGAATACGCTGACAATATATTTGTTAACTGAAATTTCAAAAGAGAAATTCTATATCACTTTAACTGAATAAGTAATGATGGTGACATTACATGCATGTTGAATTGTAGTGATAAAGGCAAAATAACAATTCTTAATATAATTAACATAGACATAAGTGTGATTCTAAAAGCTTAATTTCTCCTTTGTTCTGTGTTGGAAAATTGACAGTGCCTTTGTTTTGTGTAGTAAACTGCTGGGAGTCTGTAGCTATCGATTTATAAATTATCTTTAGCTATCTAATGAGTAAACAATACCATGTGCCTAAATCATCAAAAGGCTTCTTGCTCCAAAAGTTCAGAATATGTACATTATGTATAACTAAAAACTTTTTCAATTGACTAAAACAAATATTGCACAGTACAAACACAATAGTCCATGAATCATTACAACTTGAATCTCACCTGTTCTGGCTCTTTAAGAAATACTAACCTACATGTATTAGTGTACAAACTCCACTGCACCTAATCATTATGAAATACACAACATTTTGAACAGCTGTTGTTAAATTATTTCTTAATTTGCTCTTCATTTGCCAGTTAAATTCAAATTCTCCAAGCAGTGTTTTAAATTGCAGTGCATTGAGAAAAACATTAGAATAGCAGAATAAAAGTTAGAAAGGTCTTTCACTCCTGAAAGATGATACACTTTTCTTGTAATTAATTGTTAAGACGTAAGTTTACACTACCGCGAGTGACTGCTCTTTTGTCACTGAGAATCTTGTGTACTATTGTTGTGTACTATTGTTGCTATGATACAAGTGACATTTGTCATCAGTATTTGTTCAGGGTGTCTGTGACAACATGATCAGTGCTGATACAAGTGTTCAACATACGGCGAAGTAAAAAGTATTTAGAACTTGAATAAAAGAAAGGTACTGCACTTTAAAATCAGTCTGCCCGTTTTAATTGAAACTTGTTTTGTAATTAAAAAGATGAATGTAACCAATATTTACTTTTGATTTGGAGGCAGATCTGTTGAAAATTCAGCCATCAGAACTTACTTGCCACTTCTGTTTCCCCAGGTCTACTGGTGCAAGTAAAGCTACAACAATTTTGAAAACTATGAGTGGATTAAAACAGGCCATTTTTAGCCTCTACATACATATTATGAACAATTATCCAATAATGATGATCACAAGCAGAAAAAAAGATTCTGGCTGTACAGATTGGAACTGGACATATTGAATTATTTCTGTGATCATTACAATTGCAGTGCACATCTGCAGGACTGATAGGTTTTTGATATGTTGTATGGTATCCCTGTGGAAGGCTAATTTGGCAGCATATGCTAGAATCTCCATTTTTTAAATGGCCAGTCAATAAGATACGTTGCTTTAATTCATTCACTTTAAAAAACAAGTTAAGATAGTTGTTAGACTTTGAGAGATTTTACTATTATGTAAGAAGATATTATGTGAACCCTATTTTACCTTTGAACATTGATACTGTTAATGCTATATCCATAATTGAAAATCAATTATATAGCATTTACAAACTTATAAATAAAAAAAATAACATGCATGCTAATGGGTCACTTTGAGTCAACTTGAGTAACACACCACACATTACACAACTGCAATACAATTTGTCTCTTAAATGTAAAGGGTTTGCACAACAGAACATGAAAGAATAAACCTACGTTTTGGTACATCCATAGGGTTCAGGCTGCCCAACAGATCTCGTACAAAAAGCCCATCTCCCTCCTCTCTGCTGAGCCAGTTGTTGCAGGCAAAGTAAAAGCGCAGGTGGGGTCTGTTCATATCGGTGACCACCACCCTGTCCAGGAACCAGCTAGCGTTCATTCCGGTGTTGTCATGCTCAATCCTGCCAGAGACAGGTCCATTTTCATTACAGCCTCACAGGCAATGTGTGCAAGAGGAGTTCATAAAGTCAATAAATACAGTATGTACATTTAACTGGGACAAAAATATAATTGCCTAGACATAAATACATATGACCTGTCATTTTCACATGCATTATCAAATTATTGACTATAAAAACATGCACAGATATCCACTTTAGTGCGTTGTGCTGTGATACCTAAAGGATAAAGACCAGTTACTTTATTTTTTTGTGTTTTATGGGTTAAAGATATTTGGCAAAAAAATAACTGTTTCCATTATGTGAGGTTTTGAGTTGAGCACACAATTTATACACTGAAGATCACCTGACTTTGAACAGATGGTGGTTATATCTAGGTGACTTGATGTAACAGAGGATATGGAGTAAAATGTACATTTGAAAGCTCTCATCAGAATGATGACTTAATATTTATTTTTAAGACAGGCTTTTCTGCTTAATTTTGGTTTTATACTGTAGCATATAAAATTCAATTCATTTTCCACATCAAATAAATTTATAAAATATGGTTTAAGCCAGTTTGCAGTAGAAAACATAATATTAAAAACTAGAGTTTCTTTAGTATTCTAGGTATTTCACATTACAATACTCAATCATAATGTGATACCAATAAATATGTTTTAAACAATCATAACAATAGTTCTGACCTATTCATTGCATTTAAAGATTTTACAAAACACATAAATTTGGTCTTGTGCAATATTGTACAAGTTATACCAAATCATAGAATGCTACAATGAAAATCCTAGCTTCCATACATACATAATAAAGTACTCTCATACAGTGTATGTGTACACGTACAGTATATATGCTTTCTGTTTGTTAATGTTTAATGCTGTGTGTCTTGAGTCCCAAAAAGAGATGACCCCATCTAAAAGCGATGTTGTTGAAAAGCACCAATGTTTAAGAAATGTTTTTAGCAAACAATAAAACTGCCATCCCTTAAACATTTTATTTTATTAAGCATAATTCTGGACAGAGAAAATAAAGAAATACCCATGAGCACATGAATATGGTACTTGATGAAGGCTTGATTACCACAGTGTACATGCTCATGTATAGTATATTTATCCATTATAAGAAGATCCCTTATTCGTGGCAAGGGTCACAGCAAATCAGATCCTATCCAAGACAGATAGGGTGCATGGTGGGACCACATCTTTTAAGAGTTGCCAGTGCATGACAGGATATACTGTACATACACAGACACACGGGGACAATCAGGAGACACCGATTAACTTACCCAACATGTCTGGGAGGAAACCAAAACACCCAGCTGCAACAACCCATACTGATCTATACTTTATATGAACCATGAAATTAAAAAAAAAAATGCTATAGCTGTCTTAGCCTTTTTCTTTGTCTTGGGTTTTTACCTTACGGATAATATGTAATATATTAAGATGATACTAGTCGCCCTTCAGCCACAGTCCAGAATTAGTGCTCAGTACTTTTTTATTTCTAATTTATTTCACATTTGTGAGAGTGCTGTTGATTTTGTTTTAATGGAATACCTTAATTTTTTTATAGGCCCAACATTATTGGTTTTGATTCTGAAAACATCAGTTTTGTTCTTCTCAAAAGCTGTCCTGCTCCTGTAAAAGAAATAAAGACACTACATCTTATTTCAGGTGAATACACAGTTTTAAAACCAATTACAAGGCACACAGAACTGACAAGACCATTTGAGCTGAAAGCTATCGTAGACGCAGTATATATGAAACCTGAGGGAGCTACTTGGGACATGTGAATACTATACCAGGCTCTTCCAAGGTAGCAAAGCCTTGAACAATTCTATGGCCAAAGCTGTAGGTATAGACAATGATTCTCTTTTTTAGAAGGGAATTCCTGTCTGCTGAGAATTAGTTATGCTGTTACAACAATGGGTGATGGGCTATCCGTTGACATTGAGCAAGATACATGATGAGGACTTGGAAGACAAGGACATTTAATACTGAATCCCAACTGTCAATGCTGCAGCATCATTAAAACAAAGTCCATTTTATTTCACATACAGTATATATAGTTATTATTGTTGTATAGTTTGTAAGCTGCCCTGGATAAGGGAGTCAGTTGAACAAATAATAAAGGGTGTGATGTATTCCAAAAGGATAAGGATTTAATTTATTCCATCTACACAAATAATAAAGCACATAATATATTCCAAACAAATACAAAAAAGTACATAAACACAATTACAAATATTGAAATCTGCTGAAAACCAACATGCAAACTTTGGAAATAATGCAACTTAAACACGGTTTTTGTCAAATTGCATTTAAATTCCAAAATGTTGCATTTTTTCCAATTGCCATCCAGAGTGAATGCATCAAGAAAAACAATACAGGCCTGGACTTACCTGGTCCTCTATACTAGTCTTCGGTCATGGATGCATGAATTTACATTTAGTTTTAAAAGCTACTGTATGTACCCCGTTTAACTGAGAGAGACAGAACTCTTCCAGAAAGCCCATCAGTTCAGAAGTGTTTGCTTTATCTCTGTTCTGTTATTACACAGAGTCATTACCCAGCTAATAAGAATATAATACAGCATCTGACAATCTTTCAGGAAAATGTCTTTTTTAATATAAAACATAATGTAATTACTAAATGACTGTATGTACAAAATCAAAATACCATAGCAACATAATTCTTACCCTTCCCATGTTTATTGAAGTTTGCATTATTTTTTTTTTATTTCATAATTTGTTTTTGAAGTTCGATTTTTTATACTGAGACCATCAAATCCCAACAACTGCAGTACTGTACGTACGGAATATCAATACCATGTGTAGTATGTTAATGTCTCTCAGTATAACATTAAATATTAATGTGTGTTAAGTATAAACAGGGAATGAGTAGAAAGCATTTAAAGACGTCATTTATTACTCAAAAAATATTTTCAAAGGCTTTCCAAAATAATTCTGATGCAAAGGTGCTGTATGTCTGTATCTAAAATGCAAAATTGGTTAATATGACTTTCTGTAGTGTACAATGTCCTCACAGGCAATTCACTTTTGTGTTGTCTGAAAAGAAAATGAATATGAAAATGAAAATGAAAGCTCTAAACTGTTTAGAACATGGATTAGGGAAAATGTTATCTTGTCAAAACATTTTGATTTTGGAGTATTTGTTTAGAGGCATGTTCTACACTTTGGCTCCTATATCTTTATTGTACTGATGTGATAATGCTGTATTTATATATTTTATGTCTTAGTGGTAAAAAAATTAAATTAAGATTTCTATTATTAATGCAGCCTTCTGATATAAAGCTTCTTAAAGACACACAGCATATGTACAGCACTACCATCACATTTCAGGCAACTAATAATAATTTTACTGTTTTGCAGAATGATATTACAGAAATTGAAAAAATATTAATTTCCAAATGTACATTTGGAAATTAATATTTTTTCAATTTCTGTAATATCATTCCGCAAAACAGTAAAAGTATTATTAGTTGCCTGAAATGTGATGGTAAACACAAAAAGTAGCTTAAACTCAAAAACAATCCAAATTATGGAAAATTCACAATTACATTACAAAAACAATTTTGCATTTAATCTCTATTCCTAACATACTGTACATTATGTTGATCTGGAAGAGTTTTGTCAACAGAAATTTATTTTGTATGTATACATAAAGCTGTAAATTATTCTACAGCACCTACTGTACCATTTCACAAAACAAAACCATTCACAAGAAACCAGTTTGGAGTGTAACATTTTAACAAAATACATGAAATTTTATCCTTTTTATCATGGAAACAAATTGATTTTTGTCAATTCTCTATTAAAGAAAACATACTGTATACAGTAGTGCAAATGGTTAAGAACAATTTGTACCACAGTACTGAGAAGGGTCTTGCAATTACTTATAGATGTTATCTCATTTAGCTAAAATTACACTGAAAAATGGGGACTGTTTCTGCAGTAAATTGGTAATTAATCCTTTCCAGAAGATGTCTAAAAAGTACTGTATAAAACAAACTAGGATCTAAAAACAAACAGAATTTTGCCTTTGCAGCATTATGCAACATTTATTCTTAATATTTATTTAACTATTTGATGACAGAATTTAGCAATCGTGTTGCATGAAAAAGAACTGTTCCATGGTAGTAATCAAGGATATATTTTGATTCTATTCAGTGGCCAGAAATGAAGCCCACTTGTACCTTTTTTTGTCTTACAGCTATAATATGATAAACTGGTATAAAAATTCATGTATTTTCAATTCTTGAGAGTACACATGGCATTTTATCCTCTTATCCATGATACTAACTACACGGAAACAGGTATAAAATGCCATGCATGACAAATTCATTGAAGGCTTTAATTTCTCAAGAAACAAACCCAAGTGTTTGGAAATTGCATAATGTTAGTCTTTTTTTTCATTTCTTTTAAATGAAAAAAACAGACCTAAAACACTATGAATTTCCAGACTACTTAAGTACTGTATATTAAATCTGTTCATCATCGGTACATAACTGCATACATGCTATTCTATTCTTTTACCATGTACACAATACTAAAGCCTTAACACAATTGGAATATCGTGCATTTAGAATACATGTACTGTACACACTCTTATCATTGCTGCTATTCTAACAAACTGATACAATATCTGTATATATGTTAGTTAAGTATTTTCATTAATACTATTATTTCTTATAGTACACCAGGCACAACATATGCGTTTACAGAATGTTTAAATCAAGCTTGACTAAAGAAATAGGGAGAGAGAAGGTAAGAAAAAAATATGCTGTAAATACTACTGTAGGTTTAACTATTTAAAACCTATTTCAATAATTGTTTTGAAGTCTACATATAGTATATATACAACATAAGACATGATGCTTTCAAAAATTGCAAAGGAATCAAATATGTTTTTGATCATGTTTAAATAATGTTGAAATTACTTTTCATTCTTTGAAACCATAAAAAAGCTTTAGTAAGCTACTTAATTGCGTCATCTTCTGGAATTGTCTCAAAATGGAGAATTCTTTTAAGAAAGATAGATTATATCACTGAAAGCAAAGTATTTAGGATTATAAGAATAATAATGATAATGACAGTGATGATCATTATTTTAGAAATGTTAATCACCATTTTCCTGACTCACCACTACACATCTACACTAACCTGGGAGAAATGAAGACAACACAGAGTGCCACAAGCACAATAATTAATAGCTCATCTTCAATGGAAGAAACATTTACACACAAAAATGTTTTGGTCTTGGTTCCACTTTGTTTCTAGTGTTACCTGACTAACACGTTGTACTCCTATAATTAGTGCATGGTAAAAGATTCTAGAATAACATGCAATTCTAATATACAATATAATTTCAACTTGGCAACACAAGACATTTACATAGTCCTACATCAACTCCCTTTTCACTTCCACCATATACAGACCAATATAAGAATACCTCTTTTCTGTGCTGTAGGTTTGGAGAGAAATAAAAAGATTAACTGTTATAATTTCATAATATACATTAAAAAAGGTTTTAGAAAAAAATATTGAAATCCAAAATGTTTTATAAAACATAAACATGTAACAAACATGTTTAGAAAGTTATTCTAAGTTGATTCAATCCAAAAATTAAGACTTTTGAAGACATGTTATTTAAAAAACAAGAAATCATATAATCATAACCACATTTTCAGAGTGACATTTTAATTTTTAGAAAATTTCTGAAGCTAAATAAAATGTTTTTCACTCATACCTCTCTATTTTCACATCCTGTCTGTGCCTTTTTTAAAAACTACACTAGGATAATTTTTAAGATATGAGAAGTTTAAAGTTGGAAAATGTTTTTTTCAGTTCCTGTCCTGAATTCAAGAATAGAAGTCTGATTAAATTGATTAAAAATATTTAAAAATAGCTGACATGCTGTACAGCTGCCTGTAAACAATATCATAACAGCATGACTGTCTAATTAAAAAATATTTTTCCCCTTTATTTGAGAAATTTCTCACAGATGCTAAAATTGATCACATGATGGGTTTTGTATTTGTATTGATTGCTTCTCATTAAATGAGAAAACTCAGAAATAACATCACAATTCCTGAAACATTTTATAGTGGCAAAATAATGACAGCTCACTTACTTGCTGGCAAGGTGGACTTTAGGAGTAATACCATACTCTCCAAAGAGAGTGACAAATACATTGGCATCAGTTCCTGCTCCTCTGACATCTCCAGTGACTGTGACGACTTCATAAACTGTATAGGGAGAAAGAGACAGTGTGTAGAAAATGTCTTTATCTAAAACTGAGGACTGCACACCTGGCAGATAAAATGAGTGTGCTTCAAATGAAACCCACAAAAACTATTACAGGTATGTTATTCTGTATTCCATCTGAAATGCCTTTTGATTATACTGGAATCTATCCATTTTCAATAACTGTCGCGGCCTGTAGAGGAATGTAGTCTAACTTGGCTCAAGGTAGTATACACCCTGTATACAGTGTCCATTGCACAACAAACACAGTCAAGTGATGGACAATTTAGATGTACCAGTTAACCCAGATCACATAAATGTGCACTGTAAGAAAAAAAACTGAACACCTGGTAAAAAATCATGGGACCACAAGGAGAACCACAAGGAGAACATGCAAACTCTACACATAAAGCACTCTAGCTAGAATTGTTCTCAGCACCCAAGAGCCCTGAAAAATTAATGCTTACTGCCATGCCACTATACTGCCCTATACTGGAATCATATATATTGTAATGACAATTCTAGAAATAATGTGGATTACAGAAGTTAAAGTTCCTATTTACCGTAAAAAAACATTTTTCTAAAAAATATCTCCTTTCAAATTGCTTCATTTTCAACAGTCTTCACCTAGAGTGTTGATAAAGTTATTAACTTGGGTAATTAATTCATGTACTTATGTACTGTTTCTGCAGCACGTTACTTTTAAGTGTTGTTTTTTTATTTTGAGATATGTATGTAGGAAAACATACTGTAGATCTCTTCTGTCTTTTGAACAGATTACATACAGCATGTAGTATTTTTCAGGTGATTTTGGAGATCAACACAGAATTATGCTTAACATGCAAAACCCCAGCTCTATTTAATAGAAGGCATGGATCTGATTGAAACTACAATAAATTCAGCAGCAACAACTACTGTAAAATATGGCTTGGTAATGTGGTAGTTACATAATGCATTTAAGATGAAGTATGACTCCCACTGAAGTTTCTTTACCTGACATAAAGTGTTTTATTGTCATATACAGTATCTCCACCATAATTACTTAATATAAAGCATGGAGCACCATGCATCTTTAAATCCCAGGTCATACTCCTAATGGTTTGACTTTGAAAGTATTGTATATGGTGATGTGAGAGAAGCAAACTCTTATTTCTTTATGATGAAGTCTTGTAAAATAGGAAAAACATCATAACAGTATAGTGATTTGTTCAACCCTTATTTATTCATCCATTTATTTATCATGATTTTCCAAAACAAATAACAATGTCCTGTTGGAACACTAGCCTGGTCCAGTAAGTGTGATGATATATAAAATGTGCAGATCAGACTGAAATATATAATTTTTTACACAGCAATAAAAAATGAACATATTTATATCAGACATAAATGAATATCAAAGTATAGAAAAATGAAAACTCATTAGAATATGAAACTATGTAGTCTCATGAAGGACAAAATGCTTTCAAGCAGACAAAATATTGACAATTTATGGGATTGTATGCCACATATACTGCATGCTCACAATAAATGTTAAATTTGCTGTTAAATTTCAGTGCCATTAAAAGTCAATTATGCTCACTATATGATGCTGTCAGACGTTAAACTACAAACACTTCTCAGTGTGCTGTTGACCTCTGTCCATTCAGTCAGGATTGTGGCTGCACACTGTATGATCCTTTAGCCATTTAAGATTAATCAGTTATAGGCATAGATCAATGTTATGCAGGAAAGATCATCTGCTGTGTGCTAGTCTCCAGGTCAAGTGAAGGACATGAATCCTCAGTTATCATTATTATTTAAAGATTAGATCCTAGGTTGTACTGATTAGCAGGTTAGTCAGATTGGGACATTTTAATTATTGCTATGAAAAGCAGAGAATGTCATTTCATATAACAAAGGTTTCTCTGAAGCTCCAAAATTGTACCAGTACCAGCAATAGTACTAGCAAAATGGTCACAGTCTAGCTGACACCATGGAGTCTCAATATTAAGGTTACTTCTGTAAAATGTAATGAGATGACCATGACTGGTGTTCTCTAATGGTCGACTCAGGACACTAAGTGCCAAACACTGCCAGAGCTGGCAAGAGTTATTTTGGCTTGCTGCCTTATAGAGACCTATGACTCCTGTAACCTGCAGGACGATCATTAGCTTTCACTACCATTTCACCACACGTCAGACCTCCAATAGATCTGCTGTTGGCCTTTTGAGCTCACAGTGCGAAGAGATGTTAGTGGGCAAACTGGACACAATTGGAAAGACACGGGCACATGTCTTCCTCCCTCCCATACTCACTTATGGGTTACAGGAGTGAACAAAGATGCCTGAGATGATGAGGTGTCAGTACCAGAAGTAAAGTGTGGGGGTAATTTAGATTTTTTCCTTTCGAAGCAAACTCTTTTACAGCTCTGTTTTTTTAAATGGTAGTGATCTGATCAAAATTAAAATAATCATAATGCCCTTAACAGAATTAACTGTGTTCCATTCTTACAGAAAATACATTGTAATAAAGCAATATGTTTTAAATATATGGACATGGTGTTAGAATACATTCTAAATGACATAAAAGCAGTTGTGATGCTACTGAAAACCTTTCCAAGCAATGCAGCACACATTAGCTAAATTACCCTGATTGCTTCTTTCAGTATTCTATAAGGTCTAAAACATATTGTAACACTCCGGGGTTCACATGGGCTCCCTCGCCACTGCCGCCTCAGGTCGGCCCCCCACCGTCGGGGACTCAAGTCAGGCCTCCGGCATCACTCAACAGGGAGCCAGCCAGTTGAGCTAAAGGGAAATCTCCCATCAGCCCGGCGGCTGCGGTACCTGCTATTCATAGGGAAGGGCGGTGACGTCACCACGCAGGTAATCCGGCTCTCGCAAGCAATGGAGGCCGTATGCATTACAATATTAAAAACCATATAATGCATCAACAACAAATTCAAATAAATCGGTTCTATCAAACACCACCTACTTGATGTACAGAGTAAAATATTCTTTCTTTCAAATGTATAATTTGCATGACAATGTAAATGAACTATGATGTCCTGTAGATGCAAATTTGAAACAATTGAATGTAGTTTATTGTTAGTGTCCATATTAGGTATATTTGGTAGTTATTGGTAATGTCCCTTGTGTAATATAGGGCACAACATAAATATATATGCCAAATAAATAATGTAGCCATCTCCTTTGACTTAAGATGGACTAGGAGTCAACACTTGATAGGCAGCTTTGCAACTGTGGAACACAAGACTCACATTCACCAAGATATAATCTGTTGCATTATTGAAACTAAATCTAGAATCACCTCATTATATGGCATGGTATCCCTTACAAAATAAGAGCAGGTATGCTGCAACCATTTCCATTCTTAGTAAGCTTATTTTATTGCAGGCTTATGCAATTTTACTGTACGAAATGACCATGCTCATACTAACAGTAATATACAGTAGCGCTGTATTGCAGAGAAGCTCCAGCTAATCCATGTATATCAGTTGCAACAGCCTGCTGTCATCCCTGTACAGTTTCAAGAGTTCTTCCTTATAAAACAACCCCCTTTTGCTTTATTGACAATGGTGTTCACTTGCTCTGCAGGAACAGTCATTTCCCATGGTGAAGTACTATGCAAAAGGAATATTTTAGCAGTTTGACAACTAGATACTATCAAGAACTATTAAATGTTGCCTTCGACTGCTGGAAAGTATTGCGTTGAAGAATCAAACATTTCTACACATCTTGTAACCTAGCGATGTGTAACAAATGTTGATGCAGGGTGAGTAGGTTCTTTGGTGTCACGACCAGTTTCGTTTTAAGATATTGAATTACTGCTTCTGCACCAATGTCATCTCCTCTGAACACCAGGACCTGCATTTCAAGGCTGTAGCTCTATAATTAGCAACATTGCTCTGGTTATTTGTGTTCATAACTAAACAATATTCAGTCACTTCAGGGGTGTAAGCCCTACCTGCAAACACTTCTCATACAGATGACAATACAACATAAAACATTTTTTATCCATAATTATTGTTATAAGTAATGATTGTATTTTGAATACTAAAGTATTAACTAGATTTACTACATAAATGCTCTATATATATTTCAAGAAACTATACAGACAGAATTTTTCTTTAATGAAATAAAGCTTTCTATTTTTCCCAATGTAATCTAAGATTAATACTGTATATAGTACATAGGTTGAAAGTACTATATATTTACAAGATGACATTGTGTGTTTTTCTCTCTGAAGTTTCTCTCCAGATATAGCACAATCCTAAAGGAGTCTTTTCTGAATTTTTTAATTGAATTTCTTGTTTGATAGATAAAATAATGCACATCTAGTTATATATTATATCTAGTTATTTATTATACTTATATTATCTTATATTAAAATAACATATTTTATATCATTTAATATAATAGTAACGTATTTCATTCACATTTTTCAGATTCATGTTGAAATTGACATCCATCAAGCCTACTGCTATGCAATAATTCACTTTCAGTAAATATCAGGAAAACAACTATCCCCCTTAATAACTTTTCTCTCTCTGTAGAGTAGTTTTTTGCACATTATTTCATTAGTAATAATTAAAAGGGAAACAAAAGTCATAAACAGAAATATGAAAGAATGAAAACATATATCAGTAAACAATCTATGACTACAAGGAAAAAGAAAGGTAGCAAAAAGAAAATGTACATTAATTACTCCTTTAACTAACTTTAGAAAAGGGGACTACTATCTATTATTAAACATCTGTATTAGACGTACTTTTAAATATGAGAAATAGAAATATGAAATTTATACCACAAACAGAAACAAAAATTAAACATCCCATTCTCATTCTCTGAAACATTGCATTTTGGCGAGACTATCAACAGTGAAAATAATGTTTTTTCCTGCAAATTTCTGATTCAATTGTGTCCACTGTTATACATCATAATGCTGGAAGCTATAAAATAGCATTAGAGCATTTATTTTCCCTTCAAAATAATAACATACA